ATACCCAATTCTAGCAACCGTTCCTTATATGTTTTAGCCTCCAGTCCCCTAATCATCTTTGTTGCTCTTCTCTGTACTCTTTCTAGAGTCTCAACATCTTTTTTACATCGTGGTGACCAAAACTGGATGCAGTATTCCAAGTGTGGCCTTACCAAGGCATTGAAGAGTGGCATTAATACTTCACGTGATCTTGATTCTATCCCTCTGTTAATGCAGCCTAGCACTGTGTTGGCCTTTTTGGCAGCTGCCGCACACTGCTGGCTCATATTTAAGTGATGTCTACTAGGATTCCGAGGTCCCTCTCACAGTTACTACTATTGAGCATGGTGCCACCTATGCTGTACTTGTGCATTTGGTTTTTCTTGCCTAAATGTAGAACCTTGCTTTTTCACCATTGAATTTCATTTTGTTAGTTAGTGCCCAGTGTTCAAGTCTGTCCAGATCCTTCTGTATCTGAAGCCTGTCTTCTGGAGTGTTGGCTATTCCTGCCAGCTTGGTGTCGTCTGCAAATTTGATGAGTTCCCCATCTATCCCTTCATCCAAATCGTTGATGAAGATGTTGAAGAGTACTGGGCCCAGAACAGAGCCCTGGGGCACCCCACTACACACTTCCCTCCATATAGATGCAGTTCCATTGAGGACCACTCGCTGAGTACGGCCGGTCAGCCAGCTACGGATCCATCTGGTGGTGGTTCTGTCTACCCCACATTTTTCTATCTTGTCAAGTAGTAGGTTGTGATCTACTTTATCAAATGCCTTACTGAAGTCCAAGTAAATTATGTCCACAGCATTCCTCTGATCCACTAATTTTGTCACTTGGTCAAAGAATGCAATAAGATTTGTCTGGCATGATCTATTTTTGACAAACCCATGTTGGCTTTTAGTAATGACTTTGTTTGCCTCTAGGTGTTCGTTGATTCGTTGTTTGATTATCTTTTCCAGGATCTTCCCAGGTATTGAGGTCAGGCTGATAGGTCTGTAATTTCCTGGATCCATTTTTTTTCCTTTTTTGAGGATGGGAACTACATCAGCTCTTTTCCAGTCCTCTGGTAGTTCCCCTGTGTTCCAGGATCTTTGAAAAATATAGTTCAGTGGCTCCGATATCACATCTGCCAGTTCCTTGAGAACTCTGGGGTGTAATCCGTCTGGTCCTGGCGATTTGAACTCATCTAGGCTGGACAGGTGCTCACTAACGATTTTCTTGCCTATCTTAACTTGTGTTTCTGTTTTGTTTTTTGTTTAATGTTTAATTTAGTGTTTAATTGAGGGTTTAGTTTAGTGTTTAATTTAGGGTTTAGTGTTTGAGGGTTTAGTTTAGTGTTTAATTTAGTGCTTAGTGTTTAATTTAGGGTTTAGTTTAGTGTTTAATTGAGGGTTTAAATTAGTGTTTAGTTTACTGTTTAGTTTAATGTTTAATTTAGGGTTTAGTTTAGGATTTAGTTTAGCATTTAGTTTAATTTAGTTTTTAGTTTCATGTTTAGTTTAGTTCTTGGTTCAGTTCAGTTCAGCTTAGTTTAATTTTTAGTTTAGTTCAGTTGCAGTTTAGTTTTTGGTTTAATTTTCAGTTCAGTCTTTACTTTAGTTCCATTCAGTTTAGTTTAACTTACTTTAGTTCCTAGTTTTAATTTTTAGTTTAGTTCAGTTTTAGGTTAGGTTTAGTTCAATTTGGTTTAGTTTTTTAGTTCCGTTCAGTTTCATTGCCTTTAGGTTTCATTCAGGTTTCGTTCCATTTACTTCCATTTAGGTCAGGGGTTAATTCAGCTCAGTTCAGTTCCGTTAGGAATTTGCAGAATACCCGAGCCCCAACTGTTTATTTATGTGCAGGTGCAAAGCTTAATCTAGAGCACAGCTGGGGAATCCCACTTTGGAGAGGGTCCAGCCAACACCCCATTGTGCATTTTAAACTAGCTTTATCTCCCTAATTTATCTGTGGGTTGTTTTTTTTTTCTCCCAGTTCTCCAGCTGCAGGCGCCCCGAGAGAGACAAGACTTGCTGAGGTTCCAGCTCGGATATCATCATATACTGTAAGTTGGAATCGGACACTACAGTATAGATGATGTACTACCTGGAGCTCCTGGATCCATCTGAAGCACCTTCAAACCCTCCAAGTCCAGAAGCATCTCCACCTTGGGTGGAAAAGACCACCCAAGTGTTTTCACCGGAGAGAGCCAGCAGAAAAGGGGCAAGCGTCAGCAAAAAGCCTTGTTCCTTAATATGGATTAGAAGGCTGGGGAAATGGGATTTTTCTATCTTTTATTCTTTTTTGCAGACCAGATGCGTTGCATGTTTCCTATCAATTTCCCTTTTAAATGCCAGGGAGCTGACAGGACTCCTAAGCGTGTCCTAAGGCAGGAATAGGCAACGGTGTCCCCTTGATGACCTGTGGACTTCAACTCCCAGAATTCCTGAGCCAGCCATATTGGCTGGCTCAGGAATTCTGGGAGTTGAAGTCCACAGGTCGTCAAGGGGACACAGTTGCCCGACTCTGAGTTAAGGTTATTATGGTTGGTAGCACATCAGCCAGATGTTTCGCCTGGATCTGAGGGCAGTTAAGAAATATGAAACACAAATAAGTTTGCCAATTTTAGAATAGAATAGAATAGAATAGAATAGAATAGAATAGAATAGAATAGAATAGAATAGAATAGAATAAGGAAAAAGTATAGAATAGAATAGAATAGAATAGAATAGAATAGAATAGAATAGAATAGAATAGAATAGAATAAGGAAAAAATATAGAATAGAATAGAATAGAATAGAATAGAATAGAATAGAATAGAATAGAATAGAATGGAATGGAATGGAATGGAATAGAATAAGGAAAAAGTATAGAATAGAATAGAATGGAATAGAATAGAATATAGAATGGAATAGAATATAGAATAGAATGGAATATAGAATGGAATGGAATGGAATAGAATAGAATCTGGGAGGGACCTTGGAGGTCTTCTAGTCCAGCCTGCTGCTCAAGCAGGGGAACCTATACCATTTCAGATAAGTGACTATCCAGTCTCTTCTTAAAAACCTCCAGGGATGGAGCACTCACTTATCCCATCCTTCTTAAGGACCTGGGGTAGACAGATGTTTAGCCTGGATTTGCCTATTTTATCTACCTATCCGGTCCTTTCCAAGGATCCGGGACTAGGCTGGTGTTGTTTGATCATTTATATGCAGCCCATCTTGCTAACAGAGTCACAGAATAAGAGAATAAGCAGAATAACAAGCAGAAGAGCAGGATAACAAGAATTGGGAGGGACCTCAGAGATCCTCTAGTCCAACCCCCTGCTATCCCCAGTCTTATAGCAAGATGAAAGCTTTAAGCATTTTTGAGTGATGTAAACTAGGCTCATCTTATCCCAGGGAGCAGCTATGTTTCATGCACGGAGGGTGTGTGTGTGTGTGTGTGAGAGAGAGAGAGAGAGAGACCCCAAGAAAGCAGAGATGCAGACAAGGGGAAGGGGCTACACTCTGACCTGCAACACAACCGCTCTGCCAACGTCTTGGAAGGCCGACCTCGTGGCGTGTCAGCGAAACCGTTACCATTACTGAGTTTAGTAATGGTAAGGGTTCTTCTGCCCTCGCCCACCAGCTTCTTTCCATCACCCCAAAAGCTAGAAGATGCCGTCTGACCTCACAAGGACACCGTAGCCCATCATCCTGTGTGGAAAATAAAGCTGTGGCCCTGGTCCTCTTGACTCTGCTGCCTCTTATTCTTAAGGGTTGTGGGAAACGATCAGTCCAAGCAAGGTTTTGGGTTGGTCAAAAGGCCAGCTGGGGACCGTCCCTCTTGAGCCTGCCTCGGTGGGATGGGACTGGGATGGGTGGGCAAAGGGGGACAGTCACCCACCCAGTATGGGGGGGGTAGTTTCCATTAATCTGCGTACGGACACTTAATTTAGAATTTGCAAGACAGAGACGGAAGAAGTTCAAGACAGACGCCAGGACTTTTGGTGAAGGTTGAAAAAGGTTTATTGGGAATTTTATCGGGGAGGGAGGGGGATTGGGGTCCTGCTCAGCTTCCTCTGCTGGCCTGGAAAATTCGGGGTTCCCTATCAGGCAGGGTGTCCCGAGGAGGCAGGAGGGACCACCCCACAGGAGACCCCAATACGTCTCCTTGGGGCGCTTCGCTTGTGTTTATGGTGCAGGGAGGAGGGGCAGTTGTACCCCACTCAGCAGAGGGTATTGGGGGCAGCCCAGTTCTCTCCCCTATAGGGGTCCCACACGTCCTGGGTGCCCCCCTGCTGGGTGGGGGGCTGGTGGCAGAGCCCTAGAAGAGAGGCCGTTGAGGCTGCTGCTCCTTCGAGTAAAGCACTTTGCATATGCTCAGAGGAACCGGAGGGCAGAGGCGGCTCCAGAGAACGCTCAAGGCCCTTGAAACACTTGCACGAAGGAAACAGGTCAGGGCAGAAAAGGGAGATGTTAACAGGGTGGCACTCAAAAGGCACTTTGTGCATGCTCAGAGGAACTGGAGAGCAAAGGAGACCACTCAAGCCCTTGAAACACTGGCACGAAGGAAACAAAATAGAGCCGCTCAGCTCCACGGAGGCGAAAGGGCCGGAAAGCAAAGCCACTCTGCGTATGCTCCGGGGACCTGGAGGGCAGACGGGTGAGGGGTGGGAGAGCGGGGCTGTAGAGACCGCTGGAAGCCTTTCAGGCGCTTGCAGCAAGCAAACAAAATTCACCCGCCCAGCTCCAAAGGGTCTGGAACGCAAAGGCACTCTTCGTATGCCCAGAGGAACTGTGTCTCCGCTCGCCTCCCCACCACGTGAGTCTCTGCACGCGCGTTCCCAGGTCGAGCAGGCCTTCTGCGCATGCTCGGAGAAGGGTTGCGCAATGGAAGCGCACAAAAGAAGGGAAAAGTGGCGCCGTCTCTCCTCGACCCTCCGAGGCCCCGCCCCGCCTGGCCCCGCCCCTCTCGGCGCCGTCCAAGACGCCTGCGCGGTTTCCCGGGCCGCTCTAGCCGCCGCTCGCCTCTGCGGTGGCTCCCCTCGCGCTCCTCCCACAAGGCCTTTCGCGAGGCGAGGGCCAAGATGGCGGCGGGCGCGAGCGAGCGCGCTTCGTGAGGCGCCGGGTCACCATGACGACGGCGGCGGCGGCGGCGGTGTCCCTGGGCCTGCGGGTCTTGGGCCTGGCCGCGCGTCGGGTCCGGCTCCTCTCGGGCGCCTCCCCTGCCCTGGAGCAGGCCTCGGCCCGCGCTCTGAGCCTGCGGAACTCGCGGCCACGCGGTGGAAAGAGGGAGGAGGAGGAGGGAGGCCGGACCTGCAGCCGCCCTGACCCTCCGCAGCCCCTCTGGGCCGGGCCGGGCCGCCCGCAGAGCCTCGGGGACTCCGCGCTGGATCACCTGGCCGGGATCGCCTCGGGAGAAGCGGAGCCGTCGCTGGGGGGGCCGGCCGCCCCTCCCGCCCCCGCCTTTCCGGGTAGGCCTCGCGCCTGGGGGGGGGGCGACACGTGCCCGCAAGGGGGTCCCCAATGCAGACGTCTCTGGGGTTTGCCCGGTCCGTCTTCGTGCAGGTGGTCTTCGATTTACGACCTTTCGTTCAATGACCGTTTGAAGTTGCAACAGCACTAAATAATAATAAAGTTGGAAGGGACCTTGGAGGTCATCTAGTCCAACGCCCTGCTCAGGCAGGAACCCTACACCATTTCGGACAAAGGGCTGTCCAGTCTCTTCTTAAGAACTTCCAGTGTTGGAGCATTCACCGCTTCTGGAGGCAAGGAGTTCCACGAGTTAATTGTTCTCATTGTCAGGCAGTTTCTCCTTAGTTCCAGGTTGCTTCTCTCCTTGATTGGTTTCCATCCACTGCTTCTTGTCCTGACTTCAGGGGCTTTGGAGACTAGCTTGACTGCCTCTTCTTTGGGGCAGCCCCTGAGATATTGGAACACTGCTATCCTGTCCCCCCTCGTCCTTCTCTTCCTTAAACTAGACATGCCCAATTCCAGCAACCGTTCCTCATATGTTTTAGTCTCCAGTCCCCTAATCATCTTTGTTGCTCTTCTCTGCACTCTTTCTAGACCAGTGGTTCTCAACCTTTTTAATGTCGCGACCCCCCCCCAACTGGTCGTAAGTCGAGGACTACTCAACCGGTCGTAAGTCGAGGACTACTCAACTGGTGCAGCACCGTTGGCAGAATGGGACTTTTGGCGGGCTCAGCAGGGCAGAGACAGCCTGGACAATTCCTTTTGGCTTTTGAAAGCCAATAGAATTAGACTCTATTCAAGAGAGTCTATTATATTGGCTTTCAAAAGCCAATAGAATAAAAGGGAGTAGCAAGGCTAAGGAAAAGGGGAAAAAAATGGCGGACTGCGTTGTTTGGCGACCCCCATCGTTCGACCCCAAATGGGGTCCCGACCCACAGGTTGAGAACCACTGTTCTAGAGCCTCAGCATCTTTTTTACATCGTGGTGACCAAAACTGGATGCCGTATTCCAAGTGTGGCCTTACCAAGGCTTTATAAAGTGGTATTAACACTTCATGTGATCTTGATTCTGTTAATGCAGCCCAGCACTGTGTTGGCCTTTTTGGCAGCTGCAGCACACTGCTGGCTCATATTTAAATGATTGTCCAGTAGGATTCCAAGGTCCCTCTCACAGTTACTACTATTGAGCAAGGTACCCCCTATACTATACCTGTACATTTGGTTTTTCTTGCCTAAATGTAGGACCTTGCTTTTTTCACCATTGAATTTCATTTTGTTAGATAGCGCCCAGTGTTCAAGTCTGCCCAGATCCTTCTGTATCCTAAGCCTGTCTTCTGGAGTGTTGGCTATTTCTGCCAGCTTGGTGTCGTCTGCAAATTTGATGAGTTCCCCATCTATCCCCTTGTCCAAATCGTTGATGAAGATGTTGAAGAGCACTGGGCCCAGAACAGAGCCCTGGGGCACCCCACTACACACTTCCCTCCATGTAGATGCGGTTCCATTAAGGACTACACGCTGAGTATGGCTGGTCAGAAAAGGAACTTATGACCGTTTTTCACACTTAATGACTCCCCCCCCCATTTCTGTACAGGTGGTCCTCAACTAACAATAGTTCATTTAGTGACCGAAGTCACAACGGCACTGTAAAAAGTGACTTACGACCAATTTTCACACTTGTGACCTTTACAGCATCCCTAGGGTCACGTGATCAAAATTCGGACTCTCGGCAACTGACTCACATTTGTGACGGTGGCAGCATCCTGGGGTCATGTGACCCCCCTCCCTTTTACAACCTTCTGAGGAGCAGAGTCAAGGGAGAAAGCCAGAGTCCTTTCACAACTGCCTTGATTCACTCTTTAAGAAGAGACTGGACAGCCATTTGTCTGAAATGGTATAGGGTCTCCTGCTCAAGCAAGAGGTTGGACTAGATGACCTCCAAGGTCCCAGCTCTGTTATTCTGCACTCTTGTGTGTGTATGTGTTTGTGTGTACACACATGCATACACATATATATAATAGTTATTATATATATCATAGTTATTATAAAGTTATGTTGTAAACTGCCCAGAGTCATTTAGGTCACTTAGGAAATTTAATAAGTAAATAAACGGCCAGTTTGGCTTAGTGGCAAAAGGCACCAGATTACAAACCAGGAGACGGTGAGTTCCAGTTCTAGTCCTGCCTTATGGATGAAAGTGGCTGGGTGGTTTTGGGCCAGTCCCCCTCCCTCAGGCCAGCCCACTTCACAGGGTGGTTCTTGGGAGAATAGGAGGAGGGAGACGTGTTGAAATAGGTTGGCTGCTTTGAGATACTTGTACAAATAACGGTGGGATATAAATATATAAAGATGTGCTTCTCTGGACTGGGTGGGGTGCAGGGGAAAGGCACGATATTTAGGGCATGTAAATATTTATGCATTTATTTTTGTCACGTTTATGTGGTGCATATTGAAGGTGGTGACCCTTTGAGAGGCGTATGCCATGAAATTTCATTTTAATGTATGCCGATGAGTGTACATTTCAACTGATAATAAAGTTGTTATTCTATTATTCTATTCCATTCCATTCCGTAATTCTATTCTATTCTATTCATTCTCTGTTCTGTTCTGTTCTATTCTATTCTATGTTGTTATTCTATTCTATTCCTATTCTATTCCTTTCTATTCCTCTATTCTATTCTATTCATTCTCTATTCTGTTCTGTTCTATTCTATTCTATGTTGTTATTCTATTCTATTCCTTTCTATTCCTCTATTCTATTCTATTCTATTCATTCTCTATTCTGTTCATTCTCTATTCTGTTCTGTTCTATTCTATTCTATGTTGTTATTCTATTCTATTCCTATTCTATTCCTTTCTATTCCTCTATTCTATTCTATTCATTCTCTATTCTGTTCATTCTCTATTCTGTTCTGTTCTATTCTATTCTATGTTGTTATAATAATAATAATAGTAGTAAAGTTGGAAGGGACCTTGGAGGTCATCTAGTCCAACCCCCTGCTCGGGCAGGAAACCCTACACCATTTCGGACAAATGGCTGTCCAGTCTCTTCTTAAAAACTTCCAGTTCTATTCTATTCTATTCATTCTCTATTCTGTTCTATTCTATTCCTATTCTATTCCTTATTCTATTCTATTCATTCTCTGTTCTATTCTATTCTACTCTATGTTGTTATTCTATTCTATTCCTATTCTATTCCTTTCTATTCCTCTATTCTATTCTATTCATTCTCTATTCTGTTCATTCTCTATTCTGTTCTGTTCTATTCTATTCTATGTTGTTATTCTATTCTATTCCTATTCTATTCCTCTATTCTATTCTATTCTATTCTATTCTATTCATTCTCTATTCTGTTCTGTTCTATTCTATTCTATGTTATTCTATTCTATTCCTATTCTATTCCTTTATTCTATTCTATTCTATTCATTCTCTGTTCTGTTCTATTCTATTCCTTTCTATTCCTTATTCTATTCTATTCATTCTCTATTCTGTTCTATTCTATTCTACTCTATGTTGTTATTCTATTCTATTCCTTTCTATTCCTCTATTCTATTCATTCTCTATTCTGTTCATTCTCTATTCTGTTCTGTCCTATTCTATTCTATTCTATGTTGTTATTCTATTCTATTCCTCTATTCTATTCTATTCATTCTCTATTCTGTTCTATTCCTCCTGAGTTTTGAACGCCACTTGCCGGCATCCCTCACAGCGGCCCGCTGAACCTTTACACTCTTCCTGCAGGGGAGCATGAGTCCTTGCTGTCCCACCGCCCTGATCAGCCGAGGAACCCCAAAGTCTTGAGAGTGGCCGTTATCGGGGCCCCTAACGCTGGCAAGTCCACCCTGTCGAACCAGCTGCTGGGACGGAAGGTAAGGGCACGGCACGGGGCTTGGAAAAAAGGGACAGCCGTCCCTCTCGCTGAACAACTGGGGCAGCGTCTCCACGGTCAGTCGTGACCTTCGCCGCTAACCTCGGACGAGCAAAGTCGGTTGGGGAAGCCGGATTCGCTTAGCGAGGCTGTGATTCGCTTAACGGCCCTGGCCACAATGGTGGTTAGCCTCTAACCCACCTTGCTCCATAACGAAAATGCTCCCGTTTGCCGTACGTTGAGGACTACAGTAAGAATAAATGCTGCTCTTCAGGTCTTAACGATGTATAGGTAGACCTCGACTTACGACCGCAATTGAGCCCAAAGCTTCTGTTGTTAAGCGAGACATCCGTTAAGTGAGTTTTGCCCCGTTTCTCGCCACAGTTGTGAAGTGAATAGCCTGCACTTGGTAAGTCAGTCACCCGGTTGTGGCTTCCCCCTCTTTGACTTTGTTTGTCGGAAGGTCGCAAAAGGGGATCACGTGACCCGCGGACACTGCGACCGTCGTAGGCACGAGTCCGTTCCCATGCGTCTTGAGTTTGGATCACGTGACCACGGGGATGCTGCAGCGGTCGCAAAGTGTGAAAAATGGTCCTACGTCAACTTTTTTCCTGTGCCTTTGTCACTGGGCGGTCGCTAAATGAAGCGTTGTAAGTCCAGGACTCCCTGTAAAACATTCTGAGTTGCTTTCCTTGACAGGTCCTGCCGGTCTCCAGCAAGGTGCACACAACGCGGTGCAACGCTCAGGGCGTCATCACAGCCGCGGACACGCAGCTGGTGAGTAGTCGTAACCATGAGGCTTAACTTTTTCTTTCAGGATTGGGAGGTGGAGCATGGTTCCCGTGAGGCTTATTCTTACTTTCGGTTGGCGGGAACAGCAGCAGGTTCATGACAAATTGTCCCTAACCAATTGAATATAGAACAGAACAGAATAGAATATCGAAATATAATATAATAGAAAGACAGAATATAGAATATAGGAATAGAATAGAATACCAAGGGAGGCAGTTTCGGATGCTGAAAAAAGAGACTTTTTAGGTATCTAAAGCAGGGGTCTTCCAGCTTGGCCCTTTGATGATTTATGGATTTCAACTCCCAGAATTCCTCAGCCAGGAGGCTTTAAGACAGGGGTCTTCCAGCTTGGCCCTTTGATGACTGGTGGACTTCAACTCCCAGAATTCCTCAGCCAGGCATGCTTTAGGACGGGTCTTCCAACTTGGCCCTTTGATGACTGGTGGACTTCAGCTCCCAGAATTCCTCAGCCAGGCATGCCTGGCTGAGAAATTCTGGGAGTTGAAGGCCACCAGTCATCAAAGGGCCAAGTTGGAAGACCCCTGATCTAAAAGATCACATTGGATCCTTCCCTTTTTTTCCTCCCTGATTCTTTGAGAAGAGATGATGCTCCTGATCAAAACACAACCTTCAATTTGTACGAAATGGTTTTACTGCCCGGAGTGTCCCTGTGTCTGGAGGGCAATCAGTGTGGCAGCTCAAAGCACCCTGGATAGACGGTTATCTAACAAGTTTGTTGTCTTAATTTCCTTTCTGCACATGGCAAAAGTCAGGAAGATAACTGTCCTGATTTGAATGTGCTTAAATTCCTCTTCTCTCCCTAGATTATCCTGGATACCCCTGGCCTCACCACCGCTGCCAAAGGCAAAAGGTAGGGTGGGGTCTAGAATGGGGGTGTCCTACCTTGGCAACATGAAGACTTGTGGACATCCACTCCCAGAATCCCCCAGCCAGCCTGCTTTAAGAGGAGAGGGCATCCACTCCCAGAATCCCCTAGCCAGCCTGCTTTAACAGGGGAGGACTTCCACTCCCAGAATCCCCTAGCCAGCCTCCTTTAAGAGGGGAGGGCATCCACTCCCAGAATCCCCCAGCCAGCCTGCTTTAAGAGGAGAGGGCATCCACTCCCAGAATCCCCCAGCCAGCCTGCTTTAACAGGGGAGGACTTCCACTCCCAGAATCCCCCAGCCAGCCTCCTTTAATAGGGGAGGGCATCCACTCCCAGAATCCCCCAGCCAGCCTGCTTTAAGAGGAGAGGGCATCCACTCCCAGAATCCCCCAGCCAGCCTGCTTTAACAGGGGAGGACTTCCACTCCCAGAATCCCCCAGCCAGCCTGCTTTAAGAGGGGAGGACTTCCACTCCCAGAATCCCCCAGCCAGCCTGCTTTAAGAGGGGTGGGCTTCCACTCCCAGAATTCCCCAGCCAGCCTGCTTTAAGAGGGGTGGGCTTCCACTCCCAGAATCCTCCAGCCAGCCTGCTTTAAGAGGGGTGGACTTCCTCTCCCGGAATCCCCCAGCCAGCCTGCTTTGAGAGGATTTCCACTCCCAGAATCCCCCAGCCAGCATGGAAGTCCCCACGTCTGAAGTTACCAGGGTTGGACCTCTCTGCTGTAGACAATGGGTCTCGTGTGTGTGTTTGTGGAGGGAGGGAAGTATTCACATTATGACCGACCGTCTTCCATTTCAGACACAACCTGGAAAAATCCATGCTGTCTGACCCGTTCGACAGCTTGAACGATGCAGATTTAGGTGAGGGTTCGGCCTGCCTTCACCGGATGCCATTGCCTGGCTCTGCCACGGTGATGAGCTGAGGGTGGCAGGGCTGCCACGGGCTGTTGGGCCACGGATCCCCCTGAATTTCGGTTTGCACTCACAGGGGAAAAATGGCTGGTGCCAAGTTCATTTCCTCCTCCTTTTTTTCTCAAAGTGCTGGTCCTCGTGGATGTCTCGGACCGCCACACCCGGCACCAGCTCCACCCACAGGTGCTACGCTGCCTGAAGCAGTTTCCGCAGGTGCCCAGCCTCCTTGTCCTGAACAAGGTGAGTTTGGCTGTGCCCTCTCCTTTCGGTTCCTCTCTGGGGTAGGTGGGTCTTTCAGGCCTCTTTGGCTCCTGGGGACAGTCAGGACAGTTATCCAGTGGAACAGCCTGCCTCAGGAAGTTGTGATTGCCCCATCACTGGAGGTTTTCCATTTCATTTGTCTGAAATGCTCTAGGGCAGACATGTCCAAATGAATGCTCCCAACACTGGAAGTTTTTAAGAAGAGACTGGATAGCCCTTTGTCTGAAATGGTCTAGGGTCTCCTGCCTGAGCAGGGGGTTGGACTAGATGACCTCCAAGGTCCCTTCCAACATCATCATCATCATCATCATTATTATTATTATTATTATTATTATTACTCACAAAGTCAGCCAGATGTTCAGACTGGATTTGGCATTTTGTCTACCTATCGAGTCCTTACCCAGGACCTGGGATAGGCAGATGTGGATGTTTGATGGTATTACAGGTATCGTCGCAGGATGGAAGCAGTTCCTAGTAAGGCCGCCTTTTGCAATTGATTAATAGCGAATTTGTCAATGCCAATGGTGTTCAAATGGTGCTCCAGTTGTTTTGGGATTGCACCCAAGGAGCCTATTACTATTGGTACTACCCTTGCTTGCTTTTGCCACAGTCTTTCTATTTCTATTTGTAGGTCTTTGTATTTTGTTATCTTCTCCAGTTCTTTCTCTTCTATTCTGCTATCTCCAGGCACTGCCACGTCCACTCTCCAGACTTGTTTGTCTTTCTTATCGACAATTGTTAAGTCTGGGGTGTTATGTTGCAGGTGCTTGTCTGTTTGAATTCTGAAGTCCCAGAGCAGTTTAATTTTATCATTTTCTATGACTTTCTCTATTTTATGATCCCACCAGTTTTTGCTTACAGGCAAGTGATATTGTTTGCAGATCTTCCAATGCACCATTGTTGCTACTTTGTCATGCCGCTGCTTGTAGTCAGTCTGTGCAATCTTCTTGCAACAGCTTACCAAGTGGTCCACTGTTTCTTCAGCTTCTTTGCATAGGCGGCACTTATTGTCTGTTGCTGTCTTCTCAATTTTGACTTTATATGCATTTGTCCTTAAGGCTTGGTCTTGTGCAGCCAGAATTAGTCCCTCGGTCTCTTTCTTCAATTTTCCTGCTCTTAGCCCTTGCCAGGTTTTCTTATTATCTGCTTTCCCAGCTATTTTTTTCATGTATTGGCCATGTAGTGCTTTGTCTTCCCATGCCTCTATTCTGTTCTTCATTGGTCTTTCTTGTAGGCCAGTTTGGTCTCTCCAGTAGTCAGTAAGCCTTCCTGATATACTAATTTCAGTGCATCTTCATCATTGTTCTTCAGATATTCTTCCAAGCCATTTTTTCTTCTTCAACCATCTGATGTACTTGTAGCATTCCACGCCCACCTAGTTGCCTTGGTAGATAAAGTCTATCAATGTCACTGCGTGGATGAAGGGCATGATTCATTGTCATTATTTTTCTGGTCTGCCTATCCATTGCTTTTAGTTCTGCTTGAGTCCAGTCCACTATTCCAGCTGTGTACCTAATGACTGGAATTGCCCAGGTGTTGATTGCCTTTATGGTATTTCCTCCATTGAGTTTGGATTTTTTTTTTTTTTTTTTATTGAAAGTTTTATAAATTTTACATTGAGTTTGGATTTTAAGATCTTTTTCACTCTCTTGATGTATTCACCTCTAATCTTTTTCTTGACTTCAGTGTGCTTGATGTTGTCAGCTTGAAGGATACCCAAGTATTTGTAGTACTCTTCCTCATCCAGACTCTTAATGTTATTTTTGTGGGGCATCTTGATTCCTTCAGTTTTCATTATATTTCCTTGTTTGATAGTAAGTGTGGCACATTTGTCCAAACCAAACTCCATTACAATATCTTGGCTATATATACGGACAGTGTTGAGCAGCGATTCTATTTCAGATGATGTTTTTCCATACAGCTGATGTTTTTCCATTATTATTATTATTATTATTATTATTATTATTATTATTATTATTATTATTATTTTATTAAAAAGTTTTATAAATTGTACAGAAAATAAAAGACAATACAAAAACAAAAAACAACATATACAAATAAAAACAAACATTACCCAACAAAAACCCCCTTCCCCCACCCCTACCCAAACCCCCCCTTCCCCCCCCCAGGGCCTCCCAGAGCAGAATATAGGCTTAATTAAAAAAAAGTTAAAAAAATTTATATTTATAAAAAAAGAGAATATAAAATAGAAAATATATATATATATAGAGTTAAAAATTATGAAAAAACTATATAGTATTTTTTATATCAAATTTAAATTGTATGAATTTTATCCATTTATCCCAAACAGCAAGAAATTTCTCGTGCGTTTGACCCTTTAAGAAAGCCGAAATCTTTGCCATTTCCGCCAAATGAGACACTTTAAGAAACCATTCCTGCAATGTAGGCAAAGATTCCTTCTTCCAATATTGTCCTACTAACAGCCTCGCAGCTGTAATCAAATTTAACATCGATATAACCTCCTTTGTATCACAATCAATAACTATACCTAACAAAAATAATTGTGGAGTAAATTTTACCCTCCTTTTAAAAATTCTCTGGATATTCCACCATATCTTAATCCAGAATGCTTTTATCTCTCTGCACGACCACCAAATATGATAATAAGTAGCGTCCATACAACCACATCTCCAACATTTAGGTTGTAAGTCAGGGTACATAAAAGACATTTTTTGTGGATCAAGGTGCCATCTATAAAACATTTTTCCATTATTATTATTACCACAATAAAGTACTTTGGCAGGCTTCCTAACGAAAGTTTCAGACCGCCAAAACTCAGGCAGCAATGACCTTGGTTCACACAGAACAATTTATTGGGTTTTTTTGTTTGTTTTTTTCACTAAGCTAAAACTCGTGACGTCATGCGACGTATCGAAACGTTTTCCCCATTGCTGGCAATGGGGTGGGCGCGATTTCCTCATAAGGCATACGGCCCATGGGCCGGCAGTTTGACCCCTGCTCTAGGGTCTCCTGCTTGAACAAGGCGATGGACTATGAGACCTCAAAATTGAGGACTGGCTGTAACGGACATTTCACTGATTTCCTGGTGGCGACAAATGAAATAAAAAAAAAGATAGATACACATTTGTAATCTTCCCGTTAAGAGTTCAGATTTTATATTAATAATAATAATAAAGTTGGAAGGGACCTTGGAGGTCAACTAGTCCAACCCCCTGCTCAGGCAGGAACCCTACACCATTTCGGACAAATGGCTGTCCAGTCTCTTCTTAAAAACTCCCAGTGTTGGAGCATTCACTGCTTCTGGAGGCAGGTGGTTCCACTGGTTAATTGTTCCAACTATCAGGAAGTTTCTCCTTAGTTCCAGGTTGCTTCTCTCCTTGATGAGTTTCCACCTGTTGCTTCTTGTCCTGCCTTCAGGCGCCTTGGAAAATAGCTTGACTCCCTCTTCTTTGGGGCAGCCCCTGAGATACTGGAAGGCTGCTATCATGTCCCCCCTCATCCTTCTCTTCATTAAACTAGACAGACCCAATTCCAGCAACCGTTCCTTATATGTTTTAGCCTCCAGTCCCCTAAAATCATCTTTGTTGCTCTTCTCTGCACTCTTTCCAGCGTCTGAACTTCTTCTTTACATCAAGCAGCTGACTTGATTTCCTTTCTCCTTTCCGGGGTCAGGTGGATCTGGTGAAGCAGAAGGGCGTTCTCTTGGAGCTGGTGGTCGAGCTCACCGAAGGCGCCTTTGGAGGGAAGAAGCTGGGAACCAGGTCTCTGTACCGGCCCCCCAAGAGGGCCCAGAGCCCCCCCGCAGAGGCCCTGGAGAAGGTCCCAGGCATGGAGAGCGGCACCCCGGAGAGCCCCAAGGGCCAGAAAGGCTGGCCGGGCTTCCGGGAGATCTTCATGCTGGCTGCGTTGCAAGAGGAGGAGGTGGACACGCTGAAGGCACGTGAGTGGCCCCCGCCCTCGAGTCCCGGCCAGCCCCCGGGAAGGGTTTGCCATGCTCGCCCCAAAGGGACTGGACTGTTGTTTTTTTTTTCCTTTGAAAACCTTTCACTTCTGAACCGAGGAGTTCTGCAGAGAGGGGGGGCAGGGGGGGAAGGAAAGGGAAGAGAGGAGACGGAATCCCAGGAGTAGGAAGGGACCTTGGAGGTCTTCTAGTCCAACCCCCTGCTGGAATAGGAGACCTTGTACCATTTCAGACAAATGGCTGTCCAATCTCTTCTTAAAAGCCTCCAGTGATGGAGCACCCACAAGTTAGGGAGGGAGGGAGGGAAGGAAGGAAGGAAAGAAGGAGAGAAGGAAAGAGGAAGGGGGGAAAGAAGGAAAGAGAGAGGGAGGGAGGGAGGAAGGAGGGAAAGAAGGAAAGAGGGAGGGAGAAAGAAGGGAAGGAAGGAAGGAAAGGGAGGAAGAAGGAAGGAAGGAAAGGGAGGGAGGGAGGAGAGAGGAAGGAAGGGAGGAGAGAGGGAAGGAGGGAGGAAGGAAAGAAGGAGGGAGGGAAGGAAGGAGAAGGAGGAAGGAAGAGAGGGAAGGAGGGAGGAAGGGAAGGAAGGAAAGGGAGGAAGGGAAGGAAGGAAAGGGAGGAAGGAGGGAAGGAGAGAAGGGAGGGAGGAAAGAAGAAAAGGGAGGGAGGAAGGAGGGAAGGAAGGAAGGAAAGAGGAAGGAAGGAACTAACTCTGAAGAAGCTTCTCAGATGAGAAGGGAAAGGGTTTCAAGTGGCCATGTGGAGAAGCCCCCGTGGGACAATCCTGCCCTGGATGGCGGGGAATCTCCATGGACCTTGGGTTGAAATGATCCCTTCCCAGCCTCGCCAGGAGGAGACAGAAGGAGGGGTGGGGGGCGTGGGGAAAAGAGCAGAAAATAGTTCAGCTTTTGAGGAAATTGGGGGGAATGGCCGGGCTCTGTCACTCGCAGGCTGCCCGCTTGGGAGTGGAGTCACGGCGTCTGGGCTGCTCTTTCTTAGCTGGGCTTGAAATCTTTCGCCGCTTATTCAAGTCGCTTCCCTGTACCTAGGCCAGGAGTGCCCCAGCTTTGGTCACTTCAAAGGCTCGTGGACTTCATCTCCCAGAATCCCCCAGCCAGCTCCAACCGTGGCCACTTTTACAACCTTGGGGGATTCTGGGAGTTGAAGTCCACAAGTCTTAAAGTAGCCGAGGCTGGCCACCTCTGGGCTAGGAGAAAGATTTAGCCAGTGTCTTGCCTAACGACGGAAAGGTTGGGCTGACAGGCGTCCGTAAGCCAAGGACGAGGTGGATCTATGCTGCCGGTCCAGAGAAGAGATGATGATGATGATGATGATGATGATGATGATGATGATGATGATGATAATAATAATAATAATGTAGTAGTAGTAGTAGTAGTAGTAGTAGTAGTAGTAAAGTTGGAAGGGACCTTGGAGGTCATCTAGTCCAACCCCCTGCTCAGGCAGGAAACCCTACACCATTTTGGACAAATGGCTGTCCAGGCTCTTCTTAAAAACTTCCAGATGCTGAAGCAGGCAGAGACATTCTGCAGCCCTCTGGGCGGCCGGGGTGGGGGTGGAGGGATGGTCTAGAAACCCCGTACAGGTAGCCCTCCACTCCGGCAGGTGCGACCCAGGATCCTTTGCGCCCACAGAAGTACCTCCTCAAGCAAGCCCAGCCCGGTCCCTGGGAGTACCACAGTGAGGTCCTGACCAGCCAGTCTCCGCAAGAGATCTGCGCGAACCTCATCCGGGCCAGACTCCTGGAACACCTGCCCCACGAAGTGCCCTACCTCGTGACCCAGGTGAGCCCAGCCCGGCACCCGGGTCCCACCCTTGCCCCCTCCTGGCTGGCGGATCCGTGCTGGATCTCCGGTGGGCTTTTTCTCTCCTCCAGGAAACAGCCCTATGGGAAGAGGGTCCCGGCGGGGAGCTCCAGATTGTGCAGCATTTGCTGGTCCCGAAGGAGAGATACCTGGTGAGTGTTTTGGGTCTGGGGCCTCCCCTCTTGGCGGGGGGGGGAGGGGAGGGGGGCATGCGTTTCAGCACAGTCCTGACAGTGAGAATAATTAACCCATGGAACCACCTGCCTCCAGAAGCGGTGAATGCTCCAACCCTGGAAGTCTTTAAGAAGAGACTGGACAGCCCTTTGTCTATGAATGGTATAGGGATTCCTGCCTGAGCAGGGGGTTGGACTAGATGACCTCCAAGGTCCCTTCCAACTTTATTATTATTATTATTAACAACCTGCCTCCAGAAGCGGTGAATGCTCCAACCCTGGAAGTCTTTAAGAAGAGACTGGACGGCCATTTGTCTGAAATGGTCTAGGGTTTCCTGCCTGAGCAGGGGGTTGGACTAGATGACCTCCAAGATCCTTTCCGACTATTATTATTATTATTATCACGCATTTATTTATTCCATTTCTATAGCTGCCCTTCTCAGTCAGTGACTCTCGGCGTCTTGCAATTCCCAAAGAATGGAAACAAACAAACAAGCATTTTTAAAAAATAATATAAAACGCATCAAAAATAAAGGCAGGCTAGTGCTTGACTTAAGACCATTCATTTAGTGACTGAAGTTACACTGGTGCTGAAGGAGAGGGAGGGAGCAAGGAAGAAAGGAAGGAAACAAGTAGGAAGGGAGGGGACATAGGGAGGAACGGGAGGGAGGCAGGGAGGAAGGAGATGGGAAGGGAGGGGACAGAAAAAGGGAGGGAGGAAGCTGGGAGGCAGGTGGGCAGGAAGGAAGGAGACAGAAGGACGAAAGGGGACAGGAGAGAGGAACGTGGCAGACAGGAAGGAAGGAAGGGAAGAAGGAAGATGGGAGGCAGGAAGCTGGTAGGGAAGGAAGGGGACAGGGAGGGAGAAAGGAAGGTGGCAGGCAGACAGGAAGGAAGGAAGGTGGGAGAGGAAGGAAGGAAGGAGAGAGGGAGGCAGAAAGGGAAGGAAGGAGATGGAAAGGGAGGGAGGGCAGGTGGGTCCTGGTAAAGGGGCGATGGGCGCACTTGAAGGCTCTTCTCTGCTCCTCCTGCAGAAGATGCTGATTGGCCACCAGGGCCAGGTGATCGGCCGGATCGCCACCGAGGCCGGCTACGACTTGATGGACGCCTTCCTGTGTGAAGTCCAGCTGAAGCTCTCCGTCCAGCTGAAAGAGTGAGCCCGGGTCCCTTCGGACGCTGCTCTGGTCTGGCCAGAGCCCTCCCTCCCCCCCTCTCGTGCCAGAGGGGGGGGCAGACGCTTGGAGGCAGACATGCAGCCCCCTCCTTCCCATCTCAGCCCCCCCCAGAGGGTTTCCCGGACGAGGGGCAGCCGGAATGCCTTCCCTCCCTGCGGATGGGGCCACTTGTGAGTCACGTTTTCACTTGGCATAGGAATCTCTCCCGCCCCCCCCTCCCGACGGCTCTTCATGGACGGCAGACACGTGACGGCGCGCTCACTGTGTACCAGTAAGGGGTCTGGGTGCCATTTCCACCCAGGAGAAGCCACGGCTGGGGGGTCCCGGGGCTGCCACTGGGCTGGCCCCCCTTGCTTGCCCCGTGGGTGAAGAACGTTCAGATTTGGCTCATCGGACGGGCCTCTCATGGCAATAAAACGAGGCTCCTGGTCAGAGAAACGGCCTCCTCCTCCTCGGCTGACGCGGGAAGACAGGGATGGGGGTGGAAGAGGCATCATAGGAAAGCCTCGACTTACATCCGCTCGTTTAGTGACCGTTCCCAGTTAGAACAGCACTGAAAAAAGTGACTTAATGGCCGTTTTTAGCACGACCATTGCAGCCTCCCCTCGGGATCACTTGATCGAAATTTAGACGCTCGGCATCCGACCCGTGTTTGTGATGGTCGCAGTGTCCCCGGGGGCGGGGTGTCGCGCAATCCCCTTTTGCGACCTTTTCTGACCAGCAAAGTCAATGGATTCGCTTAACGACCGCATTGCTCCCTTAAAAACTGCAGGGATTAAAAGGATTAAATATATCAAGTAAAAGAGTTTAGACGTTTAACAATCTAAGGAAATTGGATGTAGATGTGATGTATCTTTAGGAAGTTTACATAAAATGGGATTATAGAAAATGACTAGAGAAAGTAAAATTTAGAAACATTACACACGATATTAGCATAAAACAAGAAAGGAGGAATTATTATATAGGTCAAAGAAAAATAAAATTAAATAAATATACTTGGATGAAAAGGGGTGAATTTTAATGTTGGAAATAGTATTAGAGTAAAAACAGTATATGCACTAAATAATATGAGAATATTTGTATGCTTAGATGGAATTCTGGTCGAGCCTTATAAAAAAAATATGAGTGTTACTACAATGAATAATGTTGGATTCCTAGTAAGTAGTAGAATATGAAAGAAGGAAAATGTAAATAAGAAACAATGGGGCAATAAGGACAAATATTTCAAAGAAGAAAGAGGAGGGAAATGTAAAGAATAGAAGAGTACTCTTACAAATTGCTGTTAACAAAAAAGGATATATTATGTGTGTATGTGTGTAATGTTTGTTGTGCTTTGTTTTGTTTTGTTGGTCTAAAATAAAAAGTTAAAAAAAACTGCAGAGATTCGCTTAACAGATTTGGAGAAGGGGAAAAAAATGGGGCACAACTCACTGAAGCCGCCGTCTCGCTTAGCGACGGAAATTTCAGGTGCCTGTAGCCCTCAACTTAACGACCGCCACGGAGGCCGAAAGCTTTCTGCCGGTAAGCGAGACGCTTTTGAGTTGTGCTCCGTTTTGGGACCTTTCTTGCCGGAGTTATTAAGCGAATCACTGCACTTTACGGTCGTTAAGCGGACCTGGCTTCCCCTCCGTGGACTGCTTGTCAGGTCGCAAAAGGGGATGGCGTGACACCCCTCCCCTATGGGATGTGACGACCGTCGTAAGTATGAGCCAGCTGCCGAGCGTCTGAATTTCGGGGACTGCCCACGGTCATAAGTGCAAAAAACGTTCTCTGCTGTTAACTGAACGGTCGCTAAACAGACGGTTCTGCGATTGTGAGGCTTGTTGGGACACAGGACTGGGGGGTCAGGGCTGGCTGGCCCTGCAGCCAGAGTAGCCCCAGCCTCGCTCCTTAAAGCAGGGGTCTGCAACCTTGACCCCTTTAAGACTTGTGGACTTCATCTCCCAGAATTCCTCAGCCAGCTATGCTGGCTGAGGAATTCTGGGAGATGAAGTCCACAAGTCTTAAAGGGGTCAAGGTTGCAGACTCCTGCCTTAACACTAACACTGAATTATTGTTACTCAAATTATTGCAATTTTCAGGGCAGCTGACCCTCCCGGGAAGAGAGCTGCCTTCCCCGAAGCCCCTGGCCTCGCCTCGGGGGTCTTTCCGATGCAGAGAGCTGGAACCTGTTGACGGATTCAGCCCATCTTGGTTAGGCAGAAAATCTTGTCCCAGCTGGAGTTCCCTTAGGAGGAAACCGCCTCTGCCGGATCTGCTGGCCCTAAGCGAGGGGCCTTTGGGAGCCACCCCCGCTCCTTTCCAGGCCTCCAGGTTCGAGCGAAGAGAACAGGGTTTCCCAACCCCCTGGTCTGGGAACCGGGCCGCGGCATGCCAGCAACTGGGCCACACAAACAAGCAAAGCCCCATCCGCGGGAGGCAGGCAGCACATAAAACAGTGGTTCTCGACCTTTTTAATGCCGCGACCCCCAACCGGTCGTAAGTCGAGGACTACTCAACCGGTCGTAAGTCGAGGACTACTCAACTGTTTGCAGAATGGGACTTTTGGTGGGCTCAGCAGGGCAGAGACAGCCTGGACAATTCCTATTGGCTTTTGAAAGCCAATAGAATTAGACTCTATTCAAGAGAGTCTATTCTATTGGCTTTCAAAAGACAATAGAATAAAAGGGAGTAGCACAGCTAAGGAAAAGGGGGAAAAAATGGCGGACTGCGTTGTTTGGCGACCCCCGTGAAATGGTCGTTCGACCCCAACTGGGGTCCCGACCCACAGGTTGAGAACCACTGACATAAAACCACGCACCCTCCGGTCCTGCATGGGAAGATTGAGCTTTGGGGACAGCATATCGGTGCCGAAAGGAAGACTTGCAAGCCTTTTAAAAATGGCCCTTGCTTAACCTTGATAAGAGGTTAACCTTAGTTTCAGCTGGGTCCTCCCCAGGATTCCCACCACTTCATAGCCAAAACATCTAGACTACTGCAACGCGCTCTACATGGGGCTACCCTTGAAAAGTATTCGGAGACTACAGTTGGTCCAGAATGCAGCCGCGCGAGTGATAGTGGGTACTCCTCGATACACCCACGTTACACATATCCTCCGTGAGCTGCACTGGTTGCCTATTAGTCTCCGGGTCCAATTCAAGGTGTTGGTCATTACCTTTAAAGCCCTATATGGCTCAGGGCCAGGCTACTTGTGAGACCGCCTACTACCTCATAGTTCCCTACGTCCGGTTAGATCCCACAGGCTGAGCCTCCTTCAGGCCCCGTCGGCCAAGCAGTGCCATTTGGGGGGCCGCGGAGGAGGGCTTTCTCTGTGATGGCACCCACGTCTTGGAACCAGCTCCCCCCGGAGATTAGGACCGCTCCCACCCTGTTGGTTTTCCGCAAGCTGCTTAAGACTTGGCTTTTCCGGCAGGCCTGGGGTTTATAAAATCTGACCCCTGGATGACTGTTATTGTACTGTTTGTTTTTGTCATGTTATATGGTGTTCTTATTGTTAGCCGCCCGGAATCCTGCGGGAGTGGGGCGATTTATAAATTTTAAAAATAAAATAAATATCTACAGGTGGCCAGGTTGGGCACATGCAGTAAATTAATTAGGGCAGTGGTTCTCAACCTTTCCAATGCCGCGACCCCATAATACAGTTCCCCATGTTGTGGTGACCCCCAACCACTTATACATCACTGGGTGCCAGGGGCGTGGCCAAAGAAAAGGGGAAAAAAATGGCGGACATCCTTGTTTGGCGACCCCCATGAAATGGTCGTTCGACCCCAAATGGGGTCCCGACCCATAAGTTGAGAACCACTGAATTAGAGTAATAAAGGTGGGCAGTTTGGAGAGAGAGGGATGGATGGGCAGGCAGGCAGACAGACAGACGAGATAGAGATATAGGCAGATAGAGAGATAGGCAGATGCAGACAGACAGATAGAGGCAAGCAGGCAGATAGGGAGATAAGAGAAAAGAGTAGAGATGAGGACCCCTGATCAAGGTCAATAGGGAAAACTCGATTCACTTAACAACTGTCCCAAAAGGTCGTAAAATTATAGCTGCCTTGCTTCTGGCTTCAATTGTGGTTATCAACCGAGGACCATCTGTATAACCGTCATGCTTGAATAACCCACAGAAGGGAAGCTGCGTTCTAGGAACCAGCTGAGATATAAATCTATGGTTTACAAGCCCATGATGGCTATACACGATGGCTTATTGCAAGTCAGGAGTCCAGGAGTCTGCCTAATGCAACTGTTGGTGTTGATTGGCAGCAGCTGTTCCCCTCTCTGCTCTCAAGAGGGTTCTGCTTTAAGTGTCACAATACAACGAGACCTTGTTATCCGATTCTCCTGCCAATAAGTGGAAAAGAACAGTTAATAGTTAACCAGCAACCGGTTGACCTTCACAAAGGCTGCCATCTCTGCGAAGCCAGATTGGTTGAACTGTCTCTAGAAGGAGATAAGAGGAACAAAGTACTTATCCGATTCACAGCCAGAGCCAACATTGGGGGCGACATTGCTAAATCTCAAAGGCAAATAAAGCTCAGAACTGCATCTGGCCAGTCTAAAGAAAAGAAGAAACAGGGGTGACATGATAGCAGCATTCTAGTATTTGAGGGGCTGCCACAAAGAAGAGGGGGTCAGGTTATTCTCCAAAGCACCAGAGAGAAGGACGAGAAACAATGGCTGGAAACTGACCAAAGAGAGAAGCAACCTGGAATTAAGGAGAAACTTCCTGACAGGGAGGACAATTAACCAGGGGAACAGCTTGCCACCAGAAATCGTGGGTGCTCCATCGCTGGAGATTTTTAAGAAGAGACTGGACAGTCCCTTGTCTGAGATGGTATAGGTTCTTCTGCTCGAGCAGGGGGCTGGACTAGAAGACCTCCATGGTCCCTTCCAGCTCTATTCTATTCAATCTCAAGGGCTACACGCATTTATACTTCAAATAAAATATTTCAACTCCTGACTGAATGTCTGCTTAGCTTACAGACAGCTTGGGTATCCTGGAGTAAATCTAAGAACAGTTTTGAATGAACTTTAAATTAAAAGGACGTAGGGGAAAGGTTAAGTTTTGTTTACTGGCAAAATAATTGGATTCTGTAGAAAGGCCTTTCAAAAATTGAAACTGATTTCCCTTTTTTTAAAAAAAAAAGATTTCACCTCCTTTAAATTCAAAGCGGGTGGGGGAGAAATACCTTACAGAAAAAAGACATATTTCCAAGGCAACACAAATGTACCGTTTAACAACCCCATCTCCTGTTTTTTAAGAGTCGAGATTCAGGTAGTCCTCGACTTAGGATCACAATTGAGTCCAAAGTTTCTGTTGCTAAACGAGACAATGAGGTTGCCCTGTTTTACGACCTGTCTTGCCAAAGTTGTTAAGTGAATTACTGCAGTTGTTAATAGTATGGTTGTTAAGTGAATCCAGCTTCCCTTTTTGATTTGGCTTGTCAGGTTGCAAAAGGGAATCACGTCACATCACACACACACACACACACAACGCTGCGACCATCATAAATAGGAAGCAGTTGCTGAAGCATCTGAATAGTCACATAACCGTAGGGATGGATGCTGCATCGGTGATCAGTGTGAAAAAGGGTCATAAGTCACTTTTTTTCAGTACCACTGTTAGCTTCAAGTGGTCACTAAACGAATGGCTATAACTCGAGGAGTACCTGTAGTTTCAAAGGGGGGAATGAAGGGATCCGCCTGGGTGGCGAAAAGGGCAAGGGGGAGTGGGGGGAAGGCCGCTTGGGGAGGGGGCTTGTCTTGGAGGCTAGGCCGCAAGGAAGCAGCTCGGCCCGGAGTATCCGGAGCCGCCCAAGGGGGAAACTGAGGCCCGGCGGGGCTTGAGTGGCAACCGGCGTTGGACGCGTGGCGAGTCCGGAAGTTCAGACTGCGGACAAAAGGGCCGCGCCTCTCCGTTCGAACTGAGCGGCGCTTCCGGTGGTCGCGCGCGTGCGCAGACGGAGAGACTCCCCGGCCTTCAAGGCAAGAAGCGAGGCTGGCCTTTCCCAGCCGCGAGCGCTCCCGGCTGCCGTTCGCCCTCCGAGCCGTGCGGGGGCGCAAGAGCGATGTCGGCGGAGGCGCCCGTCTCTTCTCTCCTGCCCTCCCTATTGGCCGCCTGGGCCGGCCTTCTCCCCGCCTCCTCCTCCTCCTCCTCCTCGAGGCCGCCGGAAGCGGCGCCGCGCCGCCGCTCTCTCCCTCCGCTCTGACCTTCCCCTGGAGGGCCGGGCGGCGCGGCGCGTGCGCAGTAGGGAGCGGCCGAGCCGGCTCTGAGGGGTGACGAGGCGGCGGCGGCGAAGGAGGCGAAGCAGAGCGGCGGCGCCATGAGGGCCGGGCGGGGGCTCCCACGGTGAGCGGGCCCCTCCCCGGCGGCAGCCCCCCGGCCGCGGGGGGTGGGGTGGGCGGCCCCCCGGTCGGCCTCAGTTTCCCCCCCACTACCCCTCCCCCTCTCGGGCGCCCTGCGGGGGGGGCGGTGGGCCCGGCCCTGCCCCCCCAGGAGCCCCCTGGCAAAGTGGGGCAGGGGCTCCTCGGACCCCCCTTTGTGGGCTTGTGGGGGGGGGGAGGAGGCAGGCAGGCCTGGAGGGCGAGGCAGGAAGGGCGGCCATCCGGCTGCCAGGAGACCCTTCCTGAGGCTGCGGGGGGGGGGAGGAGGCTCGGAGGGTCCTTCCCGCCCTATTGGGGGGGGGGTTGGGGGGGTCTCCCTTCCCCCGAGCTTCCTCCTCCTGGGCCTTGATTTTCCCCCCCCCACACACACACACTTCACGATCAGTGCCAAAACCCGATCTCCCCCCCCCGGCCCTCTCGGAGGGGGGGGCTAACAGTGGGGTCCCTCCCACCGTTGCTGCTGCTCGGCCCAGAATAAAACTTGGTGGGGGGGGGCTTGATCCAGCGGGGGGGGGCGGAGGGGTCCCCCAGTTCGGGATCAGTAGCCCAAACCTTAACCACCGCCCCCCCCTTATCTGGCTTATTGGGCGGGTCCCTCCTGGCCCCATTGCGGGGGGGGCTCCCTCCAGAGCTGGGCCAGAGCAAAACCTGCTTCCTTGATCGGGGGGGGGAGGGAGGGGGGGAGGCGAAGGGGTCTCCCGGTTCAGTTTCAGGCCTCAAAACCTCATCTGCCCCCCTTTATCCTGCAGCTGGGGGGGGCTCCTTCCCTGGGGTTCCCAATGGGAGGGGGGAGCAAGGGGCTACTCTTTCCCAGGGCTGCTTTCTCCCAGGCCCTGGCTCCTTGATCGAAGGGGGAAGGGGGGGTCTCCCAGTTCAGCTTCAATACCCCTTATGCACCCCCTCCCCTATCTGCCTTGTCTTTCCCCCTTCCCCCCCCCCCAAAGTGAAGCCTCTGGCCCGGGACCTGCACCTCCCCAGGCCTGCAAGCGTGTGAATTTATGGAAGCTGCCCCGGGGCAGTTTCTATGTCTGGCTTGAAAAGCCAGTTCCCACCGTTTCCTCCCTGCCCTGGTCTGAGCCTCGGCCTCTCCCTTCCTCGGGCGGCGCTTCTGCTGCCAGAATCGGAGTCCGAAATTAGGCCGGGTCCCCTGGCCTGCCGAAGGCGGAGAGGGTGGCGCTGGAGCCCTTCCCTAAGACCGTAGGCAGTCCTCAACTCAACGGCCGCATTTCAGCCCAAAATGTCCGTTCCCAAGTGAGACATCGGTGAATTGAATCTTTTCCCCCCCCCCTCATTTTACAACCTTTCTTCCCACGGTTGTTAAGTGAATCCCTGCAGTTTTTAAGTCAGCAACATGGGTTGTTAAGTGGATCCAGCTTCCCCGTTGACTCAGATAGTCGCAAAACGGGACCCCGAGACTCTGCCACCATCATAGATACGAGTCAGCTGCCCAGCGTCTGAATTTTGATCACGTGACCACATGGGGATGCTGCAGAGGTCACAATTGTGTAAAGAGGAGGTCTTAAGTCACTATTTCCAGTGCTTTGGTCACTAAACGAATTGTTGTAAGTTGAGGACTACTTGTATATGGAGGCAAAGGGCTCTTCTCATCAGGATGATCTGCAGAGTTGCTGCTGGAGAAGGGGGTCTTCCCCTGAGGTCACGGGAGAGGCTGGGTCCCGAGTGCAGGAAAGCTGTGCAAAACCTGGGCCTCTTGAAGCAGAGAATGCAGGCAGATGAAGGATTGTCCCTTCTGTGCTTTTATTTTTTTTATTTTATTTTATTTTATTTATTTGGGGTGAGTTCAAGTCAGCATTGATTCGTGGCAACTGCCTGAAATCCTTTTTCCCTGCCAAATGCATTTTTTTGACCAAGATTTGTTAGGCTGGGCTTTACCACCAAGAGGTGGGACATTGCACATTGTGAGAGGAAGGGCATCATGCACCATTAAATCCATTCCTTGATAATTGTTGCAGAGGAGGGATTGATGAGTCACCTGATCTCAGTTTGGCAGCTTTTCTTAAATCGGCAAAAGCCAGAAGTAAAATGGATGATCCTGACTTGCACAGGATCGCGTCAGCCCTGGATTTCCCACTATAATTGAGTCGGCTGCATTGCTATCCAGTTTCCAAATTAAGTCAAGATTGACTTGGGTCACCCTTGGGGGGGAAGGTTGTGGCCACTAGAGCCTCTGCCTGCAAACTCCAGGTTTTTATTACTTGGGTGCCTAAACCGAAAAAAATAGCAAAGTTGGAAGGGTTCAACCCCCTGCTGCAGCAGGGGGGCTTAGGCCAGGGGTCTTCAACCTTGGCTCTTTTATGACTCTTGGACTTCAACTCCCAGAATTCCTGAGCCAGCATGGGGAAACTTCGGCCCCTTCATGACTCTTGGACTTCAACTCCCAGAATTCCTGAGCCTGGCTGGCTCAGTAATTCTGGAGTTGAAGCCCACAAATCATAAAAGAGCCAAGGTTGCCTACCCCTGCCCTAGACTCTTTTAGACAAATCTCGTCTTGAAAACCTCCAGTGATGGGAGCACCCACAACTTCTGGTGGCACACTGTTCCCCTGGTTTAATTGTTCTCTCAGGAAGTTTCTCCTTAGTTCCAGGTTGCTTCTTTCCTGGATCAGTTTCCATCCGTTGCTTCTTTTCCTGCCTTCAGGAGCTTTGGAGAATAGGTGGAACCCCTCCCCCCTTCTCTGTGGCAGCCCCCCCCCCAAATACTGGAATGCTGCTATCATGTCACCCCTGGTCCTTCTTTTTATTAAAAGAAGGATGATTTCCTAATTTCAGCTATTCCTCCTGCAAAATGGAGGGAGGTGCCCCCCCCTCCCTCCAGCGGCCTCATCCAGTCCACAGCCTGGGGATTAAATTGTCATTTCTCCATTTGAGTAGTTTTATCTTCCGGGCCTGGGAATTCATTTGTAATTCTTAGCTACAGGAACCGAGATTTAAAGCATCAGCTCTGCCTGACAACATGATGTGTCATCTCCAGACTTTGCAATCTCTCCCAAGCCTTGTTCCCATGAAGGCCTGTTGTAAATTTTAAGTCGTTAAGGGTTTACAAAGCACATAGAAGCAGTCCTGAGCCCAAAATGTCTGATACTTAAGTGAATTTTGCCCCATTTTACAACCTTTCTCGCCCCCTGTTGTTAACTGAATCGCTGCAGTTAAGGTAGTCACACGGTTGTTAAGCAAATCTGGCTTCTCCCTTTGACGTGGCAACAGCTGATCCCATGGCCCTGGGACACTGGTTGTCATAAATGCGAGTCAGCTCCAAACATCCCAGTTTTGATCACGTGACCATGAGGGGGGGCATCCTACAATGGTCATAAGTGTGAAACACGGTCATGAGGTTGTAGTTTCTGAACGTTCGCTGAACAAAAGGCTGTATGTTGAGGATATCCTGGGGGACAAGCAGAGCACAATCTGCTGAAGTTGCCGTTGGTTTTTTATCTGTGGATTTTTATTCATATATCTCGGTGCTTTTTCTTCTGTTTTCAGGAATTATTTTCAAGCTCCAGAACTAGAGAGGGTAATTGACTTAATCCGAATTAAGGCCTCCTTCCCTTCTTGGGAGTTGGTAGCAGATCAATTAACAGACGGATAGAATCACGTGAACGGTTAATACCACTTTACAAGGCCTTGGTGAGGCCACACTTGGAATCCTGCATCCAGTTTTGGTCACCACAATGTAAAAAAGATGTTGAGACTCTAGAAAGAGTACAGAGAAGAGCAACAAAGATGATTAGGGGACTGGAGGCTAAAACATATAAGGAACGGTTGCTGGAATTGGGTATGTCTAGTTTAATGAAGAGAAGGACGAGGGGGGACAGGATAGCAGCCTTCCAGTATCTCAGGGGCTGCCCCAAAGTAGAGGGAGTCAAGCTAGTCTCCAAAGCGCCTGAAGGCAGGACAAGAAGCAACGGATGGAAACTAATCAAGGGGAGAAGCAACCTAGAACTAAGGAGAAACTTCCTGACAGTAAGAACAGTTAACCAGTGGAACCACCTGCCTCCAGAAGCGGTGAATGCTCCAACACTGGAAGTTTTTAAGAAGAGACTGGACAGCCATTTGTCCGAAATGGTGTAGGGTTTCCTACCTGAGCAGTGGGTTGGACTAGATGACCTCCGAGGTCCCTTCCAACTTTATTATTATTATCATCATCATCATGGAAAGCAGTCCGTGATAAATGAATAACAACAGTTAGAAGGGACCTCAGAGGTCTTCTAGCCCAACCTCCCCCTTTGCTCTGGCAGGAGACACTATACAGGTAGTACTCAGCTTACAAAGGTCATTTAGTGACCATTCAAGGTTACAACAACACTCAAAAAAGGGATTTATGACCGTTTTCCCCACGACCGTTGCAGCCTCCCCATGGTCACGTGATCAAAATTCAGACACTTGAAAACTGTCTCGTACTTAACAACGGTCGCAGTGCCCTGGGGTCAAGTGATCTCCTTTTGCGACCTCCTGACCAGCAAAGTCAGATTCGCTTAACAACCGTGGCTGAACTGAACAGCTATAGTGCTTCATTTAACAACTGGCGAGAGGTCGTAAAATGGGGGAACTCGCTTAACAAATGTCTCACTTAGCAACGTAAGTTTGCGGCTCAGTTATGGTCATAACTGGAGGACCACCTGTACTATTTCAGATAAACAACCGAGATGGACAAAGGGACATTTGGCCTGTGTGTGCTTCACACACCACCTTGGCTGCAATTGGTGGCTCAGAATGTTTTTGGGATGGGGTGTCGGAAGACTAGGATGGCAGGTTAAATGTTGGTTTGGGCTGCTTCGAGTGTCATGTGATTGTGCTCGTTGTTACACAGGTAGTCCTCGCCTTAACAGCCGTTCGTTTAGGGACCATTCAGAGTTCTCTCTGCTCGGGGAAAAAATAGCTTACGACCGTCATAGCGTCCTCCCAGTCGCGCGATCAAAATTCGGAAATATTTATAGGTGGCTCTTAACAACCGTTCATTTAGTGACAGTTCTGGGTTACAACAGCACTGAAAAAAGGACCCCTTTTCACACTTAACGACCATCGTAGCATCCTCATGGTCATGCGATTAAAATTCGGAAATATTTATGGGTGGCTCTTGACTTAATAACCACTCATTTAGTGACAGTTCTAGGCTACAACGGCAACGTAGCAACCACTTTTCACACTTAACGACCTGGTCCTGGTCGTGATCAAAATTCAGACGCTTGGCAACCGCTTCACATTTATGACGGTCGCAACGTACCGGGCTCCCCTGATCCCCTTTTGCGAGTTTTTGACCGGCAAACTCAACGGGGGACCCAGATTCACTTCACGACCGTGTTAACAACTTAACCGCAGTGATTCACTTAACAACTGCGGCAAAAAGGTGACAAAATGGGCCGAAACTCACTTAACGACAGCATCACTAAGCCGTGGAAATTTTAGGCTGGGCTGAGGTCGTTAAGATGGCAGGATTCAGCGTCGGTTTTAGCCCTAATTGGAAATAGTTGATTGCATGCACCAACTTTTATTTATGTTGTGCCATTGGCTGGAGTTTAGCGGCTGCCCCAACTCCGTGGCCTGTGTGTGTGTGTGTGTGTGTGTGTTTCTATTTGTGGTTGGGTTGTATACGGATCAGAGAGTTTGTGTCATGTTCACGGTTAGAGGGCTCAAAATATTTTTTCGGTGGCGTTACATTAGAAACGCTCTTTAATATGTGCTTTTGGGCACCCCAGCAAAGCAGGATTTAAGACAGGGGTCTTTAGACGTAGCCCCTTGAAGACTTGTGGACTTCAACTCCCAGAATTCCTCAGCCAAAGCATGTTATAATTTTTCACGACCCTTATAATTGTCTGATTCAGTCTTCATTAATGTGCAGTTTGTGGTTTTAGAGTGCGTCTGTATTAATGAAGCAGACTGATTTGATTGCAGCATTATTTACAAATTAAAAATGTCATCTGGCAGTAGAACGTGGCAGGGTAAGGTGATTCTCTGTATCTTGCTAGAAAAATAAGTCTAGTTTTGGGCAAGTATTATTTTCTCTGGCAATTTGGAGAGAAAAAAACCTTAAATGAACACTAACAAACATTTTTCTGTGTAGTAATGGTAACCAGGAAGAACTTACAAAAATAACCTGGGGTTTATCTAAACCAGATAAATGTCGATAAATCAGCCAAGATTAAAATGAGAAGACACATTTATTTCATTTTCTGCCCATTTTACGTGCTCAGTTGAATGCTGTATGTCTATAATTCTAAGGTGCTTCTAACACAAATAAAGAAAAGAATTCATTTAGCAAACGAATTTACACGGGCAAGGAGATCCAACTGGCATTCAAATTTCCTTTTATGCAGTTTGAAAATTTTGTTTCAATTTAGAGCGAGTGCATCACCTGCCTTTGGGCCCAGATCAGGATTAGAACCCTTCACTCCCTGGTTTCTGGCCTGAGGCCTTAACCGCCACACCAAAAACTGGCTCTCCTGGTTAGCAAACAGTAATTTTTGATGTAGGAGAAAAGGAAATATTATAGCAACAAACATTCACCCCATTTGTGAATTTAAGGATATTCTGGAATGGAATGGGACAAAATGGAATGGAATAGAATAGAACGGAATATAGAATAGAATAGAATATAGAATATAACAGAAAATAAAATAAAATAGAGAATAGAATAGAATATAGAGTAGAATAGAATATATAATACAGAATAGAATAGAAATGTAGAATAGAATTGTAGAATAGAAAGAGTAGAATAGAATAGAGAATATAGAATAGAATTCAGAAAGAATAGAATGGAATAGAATAGAAATACAGAATAGAATAGAATATAGAATAGAATTCAGAATGAATTAGAATATAGAATAGAATTCAGAATAGAATAGAGAATATAATTCAGAAAGAATAGAATAGAGTAGAATAGAAATACAGAATAGAATTCAGAATAGAATAGAGAATAGAATTCAGAAAGAATAGAATAGAATAGAATAGAAATATAGAATAGAACACAATAGAATAGAACACAATAGAATAGAATATAGAATAGAATAGAACAACAGAGCTGGAAGGGACCATGGAGGTCCTCTAGTCCAGCCCCCTGCTCAAGCAGGAGAACCTATACCATCTCGGACAAATGACTGTCTAGCCTAAAAAATCTCCAGTTTTGGAGTACCCCCAATGTCTGGTGGCAAGCTGTTCCACTGGGTAATTGTCCTCACTGTTACGAAGTATAAATTCCTAATTCAGTATAAATGAACCAGCAGTTAAGGCACCAGACTAGAAAGCAGGAGATCGCGAGTTCTAGTCCTGCCTTAGGAATGAACAAAGTGAGCAATGGCCATTTTTCGCACTTCACTTTACATTCTCCTTCCTTCCTGTCTTGGATGCCAGGAATTGGATCCCTTCTCCCATCCTAAAGGAAGCACCCAGATGCCACTGAGAGAACAGGGATCACAGGTAGTCTTCAACTTACGACCGTTCGTTTAATGACCATTTAAAGTTGCAACGGCACTGAAAAAGGTGACTTACAATTATTTTTCGCACTGACAACCGTTGCAGCTTCTCCGCAGACACGCGGTCAAAATTCAGGCGCTTGGTAACTGATCCATACTTATGACGGTCGCAGTGTCCCAGGAGGGGTCACACGATCCCCTTTTACACCTTTCTCACAAGCAAAGTCAACGGGGAAGCCAGATTCACTTAACGACCATGTTACTGATTTAACAAAGGCGGTCACTAAATGAACTGTTGTAAGTTGAAGGCTAGTCCTCAACTTACGACCGCCACCAAGCCCAAAATTTCTGTTGTTAAGTGAGACATTTCTTAAGTGACATTTTTGGAGTTTTCTTGTCACTTAAGAAATGTCTCACTTAACAACAGAAATTTTGGACTTGGTGGAGGTTGTAAGTTGAGGACTACCTGTACCGGCAGCCTTCAACTTACAACTGTTCATTTAGTGACCGTTTGAAATTACAACTGCACCGAAGACAGAGATTTATGACTTTCCCCCAGTTAAAACTCTTGCGGTGTCCCCAAGGTCACATGATCCAGATCTGGATACTTGGAAACTGGCATGTACTTAAGACAGTTGCAGATTCACTGAACAGCTGCAATGATTCACTTAACAGCCGTGGCAGGAAGAAAGGTCGTAAAACGGAGCAAAACTCAGCCCGCGTCTCACTTGGCAACCAAAATTTGAGCCTGGCCGCGGTCGTAACCCGCCGTCTACCGCGGGCATCGGAACTTTGAATCCGGATCACTAGTGCCTTTTTTTTTTTTTAACTGAGCAACCGGTCGTAAGCCGAGGACTGCCAGTGCTGAAGTGCAGAGACCCAACAAAATCATAAATACAGGCAGTCCTCGAATTATGACCGCAACTGAGCCCAACATTTCTGTCGCTAAGTGAAATGTTTGTCAAGCGAGCTTTGCCCCGCTTTACGACCTTTCTTGCCGCAGTTGTTAAGTGAATCACTGCCATTGTTAAGTGAGTCACACGGTTAAGTGAATCTGGCTTCCCCGTTGCCAGAAGGTTGCAAATGAGAATCACGTGACCCCCCCCCCCAGGAAGGCTGCGACCGTCGTAAATAGGTGTCGGTTGCCGAGCGTCTGAATTTTGACCACGTGACCACAGGGATCCTGCAACGGTCGTAAGTGTGAAACTAGGCCTAAATTGCTTTCTTCAATGCTGGTCGTAACTTCAAACGGTCACTAAACGTAAGCTGTAAGTCGACGTCTAAATCTTTCCGATCACGCCCGTCTTTGATCTCGGGCTTGCAAGGAGCCCTTCAGGCTGCCCTGGGGGACCCCGTGAGTCTCCCTGACCCCTGTCTTCCCTTGCAGTGCGCAGAGGACTCCGGAGCCCATGTGCTGACCGCCGCCTGCCATGCTGGCCTGCCTCCCAGGACCTGGCGACCTCTCCTTCCAGCTGCTTCCTTACCCGCAGATGAACACTGGGCTTCAGAAATGTGAGTTTCGGCTGGCCGCTTGACCGCACGCCCAAGGGATGGACGGGGGGGAGGAACTAAACCCGGATGGTCAAGAGCAGAACCAGCACTCCAGCGGGTCTCTGGCGCACTTTGGGGGGGGGGTATTGGCTTGGATCCCCCAAAGCGATCCAAGAAGGGGTTAGGGTTGCAAAATGAGGCCTCAAACCAGCATTCCTCCACCTCGGCTGCGTGAAGACGGCTGAACTTCAACGCCCAGAATCCCCCAGCCTAACAGGAAATGGGGAAGCCAGCCAGCTGGAGCATTGTGGGAGTTGAAGTCCGCCCGTCTCCAAGTGGCCAGAGAAACACGGATTTATTTAACATCCGTAGGAGGCCACAAGTCTGGCTGGGGCGGGTGGGGGGGGGGTTAAATAGAATGAGCCCTCAGTTCAAATAGCTGTGCTGGCTGGGGAATTCTGGGAGTTGAAGTCCACCCGTCTTCAGGCTGCCACGGTGGGGAAACCCGGCGTCAGAGAGACCCTCCGTGGTCCTGACCTCACTACCAACCTCCTCCCATTTTTTTTTTATTTATTACAAGTTGGTGGCTAAACGTCACAAGGGGAGGGTCAGCCAGACTGCTGCTCTCACCAGGACAACCCTGGGAGGCTACGCGTAGGAGAGGCTGCCTGCCACATCTGCTGGGCCCGCTTCCCTGGTCTGGCCCCGTTTCCTTTCCTTCCCAGCTGTGCTGGGGTGGGTTACAGGTAGTCCTCCACTTACGACCAGAATTTCTGCTGTGAGACGTCGGTTAAGTGGGGTTTCGCCCCATTCTGTGACCTTTCTTTCCAGAGTTACTAAGTGAATCGCTGCAGTTGATAAGTCAGTAAGTGGCTTCCCCCACTGACTTTGCTTGTCAGAAGATCATAAAAAGGGGTCAACGTGACCCCGGGACATTATGACCGTCACAAACAGGAGTCAGTTGCCAAGCATCTGAATTTTGATCACGTGACCGTGTGGGTGCTGCTACGATGGTCGTTAAGTGTGAAAAACAGTCGTAAGTTGCTCTTTTTTTAGTGCCGTCGTAACTTCAAACAGTCACTAAATGAACGGCTGTGAGTCAAGGGGCCGCCTATAAATGTTTCGGTTTGTGCCCGTCTCGGGATGCTGCGAAGGTCGCAACTGTGAAAAACAGCTCTAAGTCGTATTTTTCAGTGCCGTTGTAACTAGGAACGGTCACTAAAGGGACTGTGTAAATAAGTCGAGAACTACCCTGTATTTTGATCTCCCCTTTACATAGCCAATATTTGGTTAGTCCAGATGCAGCTCCCAGCCCCCCTTGTCTGCTCGTGAGGGAGGCTGCCCTGGGCCCTCTGCTTCTCCCCACAACAGTCCAGATGTGGGGAAGAAACTTTTTTGGGGGGTGTCTAAGAAAGTCCAGCAAAGAGTTGTTTTTTCCTTGTATTTGATTGGCCTGAGCTCCAGGACCCCCAGGCCATCCCCAGTGTGGCTGGGGGTGACATTTGGGCATGGGCTGTGGCTTCCCAATTTGGAGACGGCCTCGTGCCCCACAGAGACCCATAGAGACCCCCACCAAAACCAAGATTTAACCCCCACAGGGCACCCTAGGCAGAGAGTAAAATCTGGCTACAAATAATCGTTGACTTACAACCATAACTGAGCCCAAAATATCTGTGGGTGGACAGGACAGTCGTTTAGTGAGTTTTGCCCCATTTAACGACCTTTCTGGCCACCGTCGTTAAGGGAATCCCTGCAGCTGTCAAGCTAACAACCCGGTTGTTCAGTGAATCTGGCTTCCCCCCCCATTGGCTTTGCTTGTCAGACGGTCGGAAAAAGGGGATCCCGTGACCCCCCTGGGGGGACGCTGCGACCGTCATAAATACGAGCCCATTGCCAAATGTCCAAATTTTGATCACGTGAGCATGATGCTGCTGCAATGGTCATGAGTGTGAAAAATGACCACAGTTCCCTGTTTCCACTGCTGTTGTAACTTCAAACAGTCATTAAGCGAACGGTCGTAAGTTGAGGACTACCCGTACTTGCGTTATCCTGGAGGAGGGGAACTTTTGCATTGATTCCAAAACCAGTAACGGAACTTCTGAAAAGCTGGAAGAAGCAGCGTCTCCTTTTAACTTTGGGGGGCACGGTTGCTCGGTTCAGGAAGAGGGTTCAAGGAAAGGGGTCTTTCCGACGTTGTGTGAGACAACCACCTCTTTCTGGGGACCAACAGCTGCATTAATAGCAGCAACACTTAGACATATGCCGCTTCGCGGTGATTTACAGCCCCTTCTAAGCGATTGAGAGAGTCAGGCTGTTGCCCCAACAATCCGGGTCCTCATTTTACCGACCTCGGAAGGACGGAAGGCTGAGTTCATTTTGAGCCGGTCGGGATCGAACTTCCTGGCTGTGGGCAGAGTCAGTTTGTAACGCTGCATTCTAACCACGGCCAGCTTGTTTTTTAAAAAGAAAGAACAAAACCCCATTTGAGCATCCGCTGGATTTGCAGCCGCGTCAGGCTATCCAAAGCTCCAGAGGGCCACGGAGGGTGTGGCGCCCGATCGGGGGTCCCAAGGGTGCAGACAGAACAGCGAGAGGGTACGAGCGGGACTCCACCAATGCCCATCAGAAACAAATGGAGCTCCAGTCATGCCACCGTGGCCATCTTTTTTCTTTCTTTTTTTTAAACAAGACCCTGCTGGGCCCCCGTTTTGGGCGCGTTCCCCCTCCCCCCTCTTTCGAGCTCAGCCCCGGGCAGTTCGGAGGTTCTGAAGAGAACGCTGACTGCTCGCTCAGTTGGTGTTGATGGCTTCTCTCTCTCTTTCTCTCGTTCTCTTTCTCTCTCTCGTTCTCCTTTTCTCCCTTTCTCTCCATGCTCTCTGTCTCTCTGACTTTCTCTTCCCCCCTTCCCCAACCAGGGGACACTCCACAGAAAATGAGAGCCGCACAGCACCCTACTCCAGCAGAGTTGGACGCGTATGCTAAGAAGGTAGCCAACCACCCTCTGACCATCAAAATTTTCCCCAACAGCATCAAGGTCCCTCAGCGGAAACACGTGCGCCGTACTGTGAACGGGCTGGACACTTCTGGACAGAGGTACAGCCCTTACCCACCGTCGCAGGCTTCTGTGAAAACAGGCCTCCTGGCCATCGTCCGGTCCCCGGCCAAAGGGGTCATCAAGGACTTTGACGGGAAGCGGACCCGCCTGCTGCCGGAAGCCATGATGAACCCCCCCTCCGTCCCCTACCCGGCACCTAGCACTTTAAGCCACCCCCAGGCGCTGGCTCGCCAGCAGGCCCTCCAGCAGCTCCACTCTCAGGGGGTCCCCCCCACCCTGCAGCCGCCACAGAATGTGGCCCACCCCGGCCTGCAGCAGCTGCCGCCGCAGCACCCCGCCAACCACTTGCAGCAGCCTCCGCAGCCCCCACCGCTGTCGGGCATGCACCTGGGCAGGAAGATGGCCGACGCCGACGCCCCTCCGAATGTGACCGTCTCTACCTCAACCATCCCGCTCTCCATGGCTGCCACGCTGCAGCAGAGCCAGCCTCCGGACCTGAGCAGCATCGTGCACCAGATCAGCCAGTTCTGCCAGGCGCGCACGGGCGCCAGCGCTACCTCAGTCTGCGAGGGACAGATCGCCAACCCCAGCCCCATCAGCCGCAACCTCCTGATCAGCGCCAGCACCCGGGTGTCCGCGCATAACGTCCCCACCCCCCTGCCTTCCTGCGGCATGGTCAACCCTGGCGACCACGCCGTGCCGGTCCCGCCCTCTGCCATGGGGGTGCCGCAGGGCAGTGTGGCCCGTGGCCCTCCTGCCTACCAAAGCGAAATGAAGCAGGTGGCCGTGGCCTGGAACCAGCACCAGCTGGCTCACCTACAGCAGATGTGTGGCGAGGCCATCGGACCCTCGGCCCCCATGGGGAAGCCCCCCGGGCGAGAGCTACCCGGGCAGGGCTTATCTGGTAAAGGGTCAGGCTACGCCCTGGAGCTGTGCATGGCCCAGCCGTTCGGCGCGAAGGCCGCCTTGGAGAAGCCTGCCCCATCGCCCCCCATCAACGGCCTGCCCGGGCCTGCCCCCTTCACCAACGGGCACTACTTCCAGCCCCCGCTGTGGAATAACATTCTGCCCACGCCCAACAGCGACAGCTCGGGCTCCCAGGACCTAGCCCTGCCGTTCCATGGGGGCGGCAGCGGAGGAGGAGGAGCAGGCGGACTGCAGACGATGGGGGCAGCTGCCCTGGAGTGCACAGCTGGCCCCCACTGCCGAGCCGGGGCAGGGCCCCCCGGCCCGGGCAGCGTGATGCCACCGATGGAGTACCCGGACTTCCACCGGTCCTGCCACCGCGAGCCAGGCGGAGCCCCGCTGAGCAAAGCCGCCCGCACGTCGGTGAACCGAGGCCGGGGGCCCGGCGAGAGCTGCGCCCTTCACCTCCAGCACCCCGGGTACAGATGAGGAGGGCGGCGGTGGTGGCACGGTGACTTTCGCTCGGAGCGAGGACCGTAGGGGTAGTTTGGGCTGGCAATCCGGCTGTTTTCTCTTTTTTGAACTGGCAAACTGCTGTGATCATTCTCGCAAACGGCTGGCACTAGAGGTGAGCCCCCCCCTCCCTTCTGGGTGACCCCCCCCGCCTTCTCCCACCCCGACTTTTCCGCTGCCAGCCTGTAGCAAATGCAGAATATCCCCTCCCAGAAGCCCCCTGCCCCCCCTCCCCCTGTAGCAGACACACACACACATAGACCCCGGAAGGAATGCCTCTGCAGAGCCTCTAGTTTTGCCCCTTCCTGCCAGGGGGTGGGTGGGGGGGCTTGGCTGAAAGAAGGCCCTGGGAGTCCCTTAGCCCCCTCCAAAGGGCAGAAGACCCCAGAAGGGAGCTCCCCACTAGGTGCAACGAAGCCCCCCCCCCCCGATTAAGATGCCCTCTTCTCCCCAGCCATTATGGGATGTAATGGAGGCCTGTCTGTTTTGGCCTCTTGGGGAATCTCGGCCCTTTGTCCCTGGAAGCTGGATCCAGATGGCAACCCCCACCCACCCACCCCTCCTGACCCTGACGCTGTTGCCTAGTTGGGTCACGAAACGTCTGCTCCAAAAAATAATCCACTGCGCTCAGAGAACAAGGCCCCCCCCCATTTCAAGGCTGAGCAACAGACGCAGGGAGTCCTCGACTTAACGATAACCATCGGAGGGGGGGGGGAGAATTTATGTTGTTAAGCCGGGTGGGCATTAAGGGACCCCCCCCCGATTTGTTTGGCCACTGCCGAGCAAATCTCCGTGAGTCCCGGCGTCGTTGAATAAATCTGGCTTCCCCCGTGGACCGGTTTGCAAAAAGGGGGGGAGAAGAATCACATGTCCTGAGGACCCGGCCAGCGTCACCATTCGCACGTCGGTTGGCCGAACGCACCAAGGGTGACCCCGTGCAACGGTCATAACTGCGGGGATTTTTCGTCAGCCGCCTTACGAATGGTCGCTAAGTCGAGGACTGCTTTGATCCAGCTCTGGGGAGGGTCTTCGGGTCCTCCCGGTTTCCTAACGGGGCGGAGCTGGTCCTTTGGGTGAAAAGTGGTGCTGGAGTCCCATTCCCCACACACGCACACGCACACACCCCGTCGCTGATGCCCCCTCCCCCAAAAGACAGCCCCCCCCCCAAAAAATGATCACGGTAATGTTTGGAGTTGAAAAAAGAACCCCATCCAAACCTCCAGCTGCTTTTCCGAAGCTTTTTCTCTCTTAGCCAGGGGTCTCCAAACGCGGCCCCTTTAAGACGGGTGGACTTCAACTCCCAGAATTCCCCAGCCAGCAAAGCTGGCTGGGGAATTCTGGGAGTTGAAGTCCACCCGTCTTAAAGGGGCCGCGTTTGGAGACCCCTGCTCTTAACACTGGCTAAAGCAATCACTGTACGCTGTAAACTCGGCCATCTACTCTGTCTGTGTGAATGTGAGCCTGGATCTAGCACTGTGGGGGGGGGGGCAGCCCCTTCCCCTCCCCTTCCCCACAGGTGGGGGGGAGAGGGGCTACCGACTCAAGCCTTAAGCGGTTGCTCCTCCATTTTCCCTCCATTTTAGACAAGCATGGGTTATGACGCACGAAAGCGATCCAGACGAAAACAAAAACCTTCAATATTTTTTTTTTAATTTAATTTAAAATTGGGGGGGGGAGGCACATTTACCCCTATTAAAGCCACGTCCTACTTGGCAGTTGTCACCAACGGAGAGCCCGGAAGCCGGTCGGGTGGGCCCGGCCTTGATTTAAGCCTGTAATGCTGGGTCGGAGGGACACCCCCCCCCCAAAAAAGTTCTTTGCTGACTTTCCACGCCCCCCACATCATCCCCAGCCCTTTGCCCCACTGCCCCCCCCCTTTTCCAGACGGTCATTTCCGGCGCTTTCCACGCTGCCCCCCTTTAGCGCCAAACCCGGAAGCTGTCTTGAATGTCCTTCCGACGTCTCCCTTTGCGTTGCCTTAAACGGGGATGCCGGGTTTTCTGACGCCAAAATCCTAATTTATTCTTTGTTTCCACGGGCGGCGAGCAACCCGGGCAGGTGAAGAAGGGCTCCTGTTTTGTCTCTCTTCCCCCCCCTTCCCCTCAAATGATGAAACTCCCTCCAACACATTCCCTACACAAACCCAACCCTCCCCAAAAAGGGGGGGGGGCTAAACCCTCTCTCCTTCCCTCTTCACTTTATGACGATCCATCGGCACGTCTGCTCCATAAAGCGGCTACCTGGGGTCAAATTAGACGGTTAACCTGGGAGGGTGCCAGATCCCACTCCCCTTCTCTGCCCCAGCTTTTGGGATGGGTTAGGGCTGTTCTAGGTTCCCCCCCCTTCCTTCCTTCCTTCCTTCCTTCCTCTCCTTCCTTCCTCTCCTTCCTTCCTCTCCTTCCTTCCTTCCTTCCTTCCTTCCTTCAATTAATTCAATCCGCCCTTGAATTGAAGCCGCAGGGAGTGGAGTTTTAGCCAAGATTAAATAGGCCTTGTGTTGGTAAATCAGGGTCTCCTTCTCCCCCCTCCCCCCCCCAGATCTGGGTTCAAGGATGTTGGCATCCCAGCCTTAGGCCATGCCAGAGTTAGTCTGCATCCTTCAAAGTCCCTCCAGCTTTTAATCCAGTTTGTTTGGGTGTTTTTGCCCCCCTCCAGTGGCTCCCCAGGACTCCGTTTCTGGGGCCTTGGTCCACAAGGAGAGAGTCCCTGGCCAGTTCAGGATGGAAGCTGGGCTGTCCTGGTCCCCATGGCTATTGCCCTCTCCCCCCCCCACTCCCCCACCCCATTGCTCCTGCCCTGGGAGGCTGGGTCAGTATCCCCCCCCCCCAGCTGAAGCCTTGATCCAGTGTCCACTTTATGGCAGCCTCATCCTCCTGTCCCGTTCAGCCAGGAGCCCGAAGCCGTCCTTCGACAGGTGGGTCGCCTTGCAGGGGTCATCTTCTCCTTTGCACTGACCCCCCCCCAAGCCCGGGTTCGAGGAACGGAGAAGGGGGGGTGGGGGCTCCCGTCGGGCCGATTTCAATCCTCCCTGGTCTTCATTGCTGCTGCTGTTAGCCTCGTGCGCTGGGTTTCTTTCTTCTCTCTCACACTGTTTGTATTTTATTTTTTTGTCTTCAGGAACAAAAAATATAAAAAAAGGTGAAGCCAAAAAAAAAAGGGGGGGAGCTTTTTAAACTTAAACTCGCTGGTCCTTCGGCACTGCCGGCCCTCTGGATGGGCACGGGGGTGAGGGTGGGTGGGTGGGGGTGCAAAAGGCGGAAGGTTTGACCCTAAAGAGACGGGCAGGGGGTTGCGTGGAGCAGAACGGCCCGCCTGGTTCAGTCGGGGTCCGTTGCGGGGTGCAAGCAGGAGGGGCAAGGCTAGAGTGGGCAGCCTGGTCCAGTCCTCCTGGCTTGGCAGAGGGAGGGTCTGGGGCTGGGGTTCCCTAAAAAAGGGGGAGGACCAAGACTGGCTGCAGGGTGGAGTTAAAACTGGGGGGGGGTCTTTTTGACAATGGATCACAAAAGAGCTAGTCTCCAAAGCGCCTGAAGGCAGGACAAGCAGCAACAGGTGGAAACTCACCAAGGAGAGAAGCAACCTGGAGCTAAGGAGAAACTTCCTGACAGTGAGAACAATTAACCAGTGGAACTCCTTGCCTCCAGAAGCGGTAAATGCTCCAACACTGGAAGTTTTTAAGAAGAGACTGGACAGCCATTTGTCTGAAAGGGTACAGGGTTTCCTGCTCGAGCAGGGAGTTGGACTAGATGACCTCCAAGGTCCCTTCCAACTTTACTACTACTACTACTACTACTACTATTATTATTATTATTATTATTACTTTATCAGGTCTCCTGCTTGAGCAGGGGGCTGGACTAGAAGATCTCCAAGGTCCCTTCCAAGTCTGTAACCACGCCTCCAGGCAAGATGGGCAGCACGCAGATCAGATCAATGCAGGCAGTCCTCGACTTAATGACCACACGTGAGCCCCAGATTTCTGCGGCTAAGCAAGACAAGTGAGTTTGCCCCCATTTTACAACCTTTTCTTGCTGCAGTTGTTAATCAGATCCCTGCATTTGTTAAGTTAAATCACACTAGCTGAGGGGGAGGCAACCTTGGCTCTTTTATGACTGGTGGACTTCAATTCCCAGAATTCCTCAGCCAGCATGGGGGAACTTTAGCCCCCCTCATGACTCGTGGACTTCAACTCCCAGAATTCCTCAGCCAGCATGGGGGAACTATGGCTCCCTTTCCCCTCAGCATGGCTGGCTCAGGAATTCTGGGAGTTGAAGTCCACCCATCATAAAAGAGCCAAGGTGGCCTACCCCTGCTTAAGTGAAGTCGATCCGGCTTCTTCCCCCACTGACTTTGCTTGCCAGAAGGGCGCAAAAGAGGGCCAGGTGACCCCCCCCATCGGACACAGTGACCGTCATAACCACAGGCAAGTGGCCAAGAGCCCGAATTTTGACCAGGTGACCCATGGGGGGGGGTGCTGTAACGGTCGTAAGTGTGAAGGACGGTCCTAACTCTGAATGGTCACTAAGCAGACCTGTAAGCTGGGGAGCAGCCGTAACGCCACGCAGGAGGCAAGGTGGAGGACAGCGCAGGTGCCTTCCACCGGTCGTGACCAGCCTGGAGTCCTCTCTGGGTGAAGCCGTGAGGAGAAGGTCAGGCCGAACGCGGTCTGCCCAGATCGTCGGAACCAGACCGTCACGCTCTTCCTTGGACTGTGGACTGGGGTGTGTGTACACCACGTCCCTTTATCTGAGTTTGCCACGTGGCGTAAACCCACGGTTGCTCACTCACGGGGCAGGGGGTTCGAACCAGGAGCAATGCAAGCATGCGAAGCCCCAAAGCCAGGGGCAGTCTACCAGAACCCCTGCCGCCAAAGGTCAGGCGGGCCTCGGGTCTGGACCTGGCTTGTCTCTGCTGCTGCTGGACCCTGAGAGGTGGTCAGTCCTGTGGGGTCCTTCCAGGGATGGATGAGCAGAGGCAGCAGAAACCCGAAGGTGGCGGTCCTTCCAGGAAGTTGAGTCCAGCAATTGGGGGGGGGGATCAAAGTGGGGGTGTTTCTGCCTCTCTTGCAGAGCCTCTGGAGTTCAGAGAAGAAGGAGCCACAAAGATGATTAGAGACCAAAACATATAAAACAGTTGCAGGAACTAGGTGTGTCTGGCAAAGAGAAGGGCCAGGGGTGACACAATAGCATCTTCCAATATTTGAGGGGCTGCCACAAAAAAGAGGGGTGTGGGGGGATCAACTTATTCTCCGAAGCACCTGAAAGCAGGACAAGAAACCAGGAATGGAAACGTAAGGAGAGAAGCAACCTGGAATGAAGGAGGAACTTCCTGACCTGAGACCAATTAGCCAGTGGAACAGCTGGCCACCAGAAGTTGTGGGTGCTCCATCGCTGGAGGTTTTTAAGAAGAGACTGGACAGCTACTTGTCTGGAATGGTGTAGGGCAGGGGTAGGCAACCTTGGCTCTTTTATGACTGGTGGACTTCAACTCCCAGAATTCCTGAGCCAGCATGGGGGAACTATGGCCCCTTTATGATTGGCGGACTTCAGCTCCCAGAATTCCTGAGCCAGCATGGGGAAACTATGGCCCCCCTCATGACTGGTGGACTTTAACTCCCAGAATTCCTGAGCCAGCATGGGGAAACTATGGCCCCCTTGATGACTTCTGGACTTCAACTCCCAGAATTCTGAGAGTTGAAGTCCATGAGTCATAAAAGAGCCGAGGTTGCCTACCCCTGGTGTAGGGTAAGAGTGTCCAACCTTGGGAACTTGTGGACTTCAGCTCCCAGAATTCCCCAGCCAGCAGAGAATTCTGGGAGTCCAGAATATTGCTTAAAAGTTCCAAGTTTGGACCCTCCCCCCCCCCCCGTATAAGGTCTCCTGCTTGAGCAGGGGGCTGGACTAGGGGTGTCAAACTCAATTTCATTGAGGGCCGCATCAGCATTGCGGTTGCCCTTGGGGGGCCGGGGGGTTGCGGCCAGGGTGGGTGCGGCCTACTGGGTGGGCGTGGAGGGAGTGGGTGTGGCCTACTGGGTGGGCGTGGCCAGTTCTACATCGTTCGTGTCAAGGGTGCCTGTGGGGGCCTGGGCAGGAGTGGGACAGATCTGAGGGTCTCTGGCAGAAGGGGGGGGACCGGGGGAAGCGCCAAGGCATGGTCCACTGGAGGAGCCTCACTGCCTGCTGAAACCCCTCCCCTGGAGCCCATCAAGCCAGATATGTGAAGTAGGTGAGGGCCATTTGCTGGCCACTCCCAGGCGATGGTGCATTCCTTCATTCCCCACAAAGGGGGACCCCTCCCCAGCATGCACCCAGGGGACAGGGCCGACATGCACCCAGGGGCCGGTTCCTCGCTGTTTCCAGATGGCCTTGTGGAGCTAAGAGTGGATGCGTCTCAGCATAGATGGTCAACACAAAATTGTACATTGGCTCCCGGCTGGCCTGGTCCAGGGCCAAGGCAGCGGGGGCCGTTCCCTCACTGTTTCCAGGATGGCTTCATGGGTCGCATGAAACCACTTCGTGGGCCGCATCCGGCCCCCAGGCCTTGTGTTTGATATGTCTGGATTAGAAGATCTCCAAGATCCCTTCCATCTCCTTCTGTATCCTTTGGAAATGCAGGTCCACATCTGGGCACACCAAGTGCTGTTTTCGGAAGCTGTTGCTCTTCCACGGTCTGACCACAAGGGGGCAGCCCCAGCTAGCAGACCGGCCCTTTCTCTTCCAAATGGTCGGTCATCTCCAGACACCACGACCCCCCCCCTCCCCCAGGTGGGCTTGGGGGTCCTCAGGCATCCCCTTCCCAGCTGGAAACCCCTGGCAGTCCAGCCAGGCGTCGGTCTGCGAGTTTCCCCTGGGTTTATTTCGTGATTGTTATCTTTTAATTAATTAAATTTGCATAGCCAGCCACCTCACAAGATGCAACTCTGGGCAACGTACCGCAGTTGAACCCAATATGGAAATGAGATCTACAGCCAATATAAAGTCCAGATTTTTAAAAAAAAAAATGCTATAAAAGAGCCGAGGTGGCGCAGCAGTTAGAGTGCAGTACTGCAGGCCACTTTAGCTGACTGTGTTCAGCAGGTCAGCGGTTCAAATCTCACCGGCTCAAGGTTGACTCAGCCTTCCATCCTTCCAGGGTAGGTAAAATGAGGACCCAGATTGTTGGGGGCAATGTAAATATATATATATATACATTCCTTACTGGTGTACACCGCTTAGAGAGTGCTTGCACTTCAAGCGGTATATAAGTCTCATAAATAAATAAATAAAATTAAAAAAAGATCAGCCCCAGGCAAAATAGGAGCCCCAGAGTGGTGGAGGGCCTGTCCCCACCCCCTGGGAGCCCCAGGCCGGATGGCAGAGCCAGGCCTTCAGGGGCTTCTGGGCGGGCCAAAAATGGGTGGGGCTAGTCTGAATTTCCAGGGAGGGGTCCTGCCTCCCCCCTTCCCTCCCAGGGCCCTGTTAAAGGCAAAGAGCTGGTGTGAGAGGGGGCTCCTGGTGGCCTCTGAAATACACTGAGGTTTTGAGGGGTCCTCAGTGCTCTCTGAGCTGGGCGGTTTCCTTGCAGACGTTTCATGACCCAACTAGGGAACCTCATCAGTGCTAGAAAGGAGGAGGAGGGGAGAAAGAGAAGGAGAAAAAGAAAGAGAAGAAAGAAGGAGAAAGGGAACTGTGGGTCCTTGGTGCTCTTTTGAGCTGGGCGGTTTCCTTGCAGACGTTTCATGACCCCACTAGGGAACCTCATCAGTGCTAGAAGGGAGGGGGTTTGCAGAAATTGAGGAGGAGGAGGAGGAGGAGGAGGACTGAGGGGTCCTCGGTGCTCTCTGAGCTGGGTGGCTTCCTTGCAGACGTTTCATGACCCAACTAGGGAACCTTATCCATGATGCTGGTGCAGGTGCTGACGAGGCTCCCTCATTGAGCCATGAAACCGTCTGCAAGGAAACCGGCCAGCTCAAAGAGCATCAAAGACCCCACGCTCCTCCTCCTCCTCCCCTTCCTCCTCCTCCTCAACCGCCATCTTCCTCCTCGCACTGATGATATTCCCTAGTTGGGTCATGAAACATCTGCAAGAAAATCACCAAGCTCAGAGAGCACCAAGGACCCCACAGTCCACCTCCTCCTCCTCCTCCTCCTCCTCCCTCCTCCCCTCCCTCCTCCCCCCCCCCCTCCCTTCTAGCACTGATGATGTTCCCTGGTTGGGTCATGAAACATCTGCAAGGAAACAGCCCAGCTCAGAGGGCACCCAGGACCCCACAATTCTCCTTCCTCTCCTCTTCCTCCTCTCCTCTCTGCGTTCCCCCCACTTCTAGCATTGATGATATTCCCTAGTTGGGTCATGAAACGTCTGCAAGGAGAACCACCCAGCTCAGAGAGCACCCAGGACCCCACAATTCTCCTTCTCTCTTCTTCTTACTTCTTCTTCTTCTTCTTCTTCCTCCTCCTCCCTCCTCCTCCTCCCTCCTCCTCCTCCTCCCCCTCCCTTCTAGCACTGATGATGTTCCCTGGTTGGGTCACGAAATGTCTGCGAGGAAACCGCCCAGCTCAGAGAGCACCCAGGAGGCCTTACTCCACCCTGAGCTATGAGTATTCTCCTTCCTTGGCCGCTGACTGTGTTGGCGCCCGCGTGGCACCCTGGCGCCGCCTTCCTCGCTTGGCTCCTGGCTGAAACGTGCAAAGCAGCACAGAGGTCTTTTCAGGTAGCTCCCCCACTCGCCCCCCCCCTTCCTCCTCCCCCCAACCTGCTTCCTGCAAAACACGTGACTTGCTGAGCCTGGTGGGCCCTCCCCAGAGCGGGTGCCAGGAGGAGCAAAGGAAAGCCTGGCATAACACACACACACACACACACACACACACACACCTCTTTGCAGGACTGCCCCAACTGCACAGAGAGTCCTTGACTTACGGCCGCTGATTTAAGGACCACTCAGAGTTAAGAGGGTGGTGAAAAGAAGGGATTTATAACAGGTCCTCATCTTTAGGACCGACGCAGCGTGTTCCCGTGA